TCGCGTGTCCAAGATGCGGTGATGATGGGGCTGTTGGCCATCGCTCGGTTTTAAACCCATGGGATTCGCTATCAAGTATTTGACGGCGATGACGACATTTCAATCGATTCGTTTTTTTCCCTTAAAACGACGTCCACTTGAACTTCCCCGCACCAAATAATATGTATTTTTTTGTTGTGCACAACCCTTTGTTCTTTTGCGTATCACGAGTTTCAATTGGATTGCACATGATAAATAGTGGATTCATCGAGAGGATCTTTTGTAATTATTTTCAAACCATAACACTAGCTTGTGGTTATATATTAGTGTTAATCAATATTTATAGTTAATTATAAACGGTAATAAAATTTTTATTATTAAATACAACACGGAAATATTCATATAAGTTTTTATCAATATGCAGTGAAACCTCTTTAATCCGGATCTCACTATGTACCATCATGACGAGATAGTTATATTGGAAAGCATTATCAGCTAGTAGCCTAGTGTGGAATAGTAGTTTTTAAAATAGGCAAGATGACCAGAATATCAATGTAACAGCAACCGAATTAAATTTGTATACCCCTCCCCCAGAGACGAATAACATGGATTTATGGCTTAATTAACAACACAATTGATTGCCCTTATATTCTTAGTTTGATTCCACTTATTGTTCAACAGTTTTCCTTCTTAAACCACTCCCTTATTTTAAGTATTAGTATTATTTTTATTTTAATTATGTTTTATATATATATGTTGTAAATGTATAATCTATGATCGTTTGTGTGTTATATTTAATAAGTAAAAAAATATATAAATAAAATGATTTTTAAATTTACTTTAATTTCAATAATAAGTAAATAAACTTTCTCATAACTTCTATTGGTAATCTGTCGTAAAGGTCAAAAAACGTACATTTTTGTTCTAAAAATGACAGTTTTTTAAATTTTTAATAACATTTAAAAAAGATGGCTTCCTATAAAATTGTATCAAATTAAAGATTTCGAGAAGAATAAACATTTCCAAGTGCACTCGAAACAAAATAAACCTCGTTCACTTGTTAAATGTTATATATTTAATGTATTTTATTAGTCAACTTATACCTCAAATAATTTGGCCTGATAAAACTATGACATTACTGAATATAAAAGTACGTATCAAGTTTAGCCTCAAAAGTTAAATACAAATTTGAGAAATTTCGATTAATCACTACGGTCTCCTTTGAATACATGTAAATATTAATTAACTGAAGTATTCTAGATTATTAAATAAAAACATTTCATGTATAGCAGAATTGTATTATAAACTTAAAATAATATCCTGGAATAGTAAAATAAAAATATGCTAAATTTTTATAATTTATTCGATTTTATCTCGGTGAATTTATAACAACTAAAAATTACATAAAAACGGACAAGGTTTAATATTTATCAACTATTTTTGTATATCTATTGCAATAACTTTTTTTCGTTAAACATATTTTAAGCTTTATTTTTAATCACTGAAAGAAATCTTTTTAAGAAATTTAATTTTCATAAAAGGATATTATTTATTTAAATATTTGGACCTATTACAGTTTACTCTACTCATATGAAATGGTACATACCATGTATTAAATTATGTTTTACATAGATAGTAAAAATGTATAAATCTTTAAAAATATCAGGGCCGGATTAAGACCTATATGAACCCCGAGGCGGTACCTTCAGATGGCCTCCTTATGGAAAATATCAAAAAAAAAATTAATATTTAATAATAAATATTAATAAAAAAAGAAATTAGCAAAAATTTAGAAAAACTTGGTCATTAATCATGACTAGGTTAGTAAAATTCAATCAAGATGGGTCCTGGGGCGATCGCCTTCCCTTTAATTTGGGATGGACTATATAATAGTAGCATTTATTGTACACTTCACTGTATATATAATATCCATTATCAAAATGTTATTGGCATTAACTGTAGTTAATATCGATAAAACATTTTAGTATAATTTTCAGCATTTTTTATTTGACACAATATTATGCAAAAAAATATTATTTTTAACTACCCAGTAAATCAAGCATATTGGAAAAATTAATAATTCAAATGAATGATTTGTCATCATACTAGTCGGGAAAATATGACAAAAATTACAATTTTCCGGAAAACTCATATTTTGCCCCTAATATAATAAAAGTGACGATTGGAAAAATGTATAGTGTTAGGTTAGATATTGAAGTAGTTCATCTGCAAAGTTCAGAGTTTTAAATCTATTGATAAAAGTGAGGAAAAATCGTAGAAGCTTAACTTCGCTAATTTACTTCGCCTTATCGTAAAAAAGATAAAATGTATTATTTATTATTAAATTAATTTTACAAGTATTATTAAAATCTATTACTTTTTATTCATTTTCATTCATCTAGTTAAAGATTTTACTTAAATGATGAAAATTATATTTATCTTCAAGGGAGTTATGGATGTCCAAACGTTAAAGTACTTATCTTGTTCTGCTATCCTTACATTTTATTAAGCCTTTTCCAAATTCTGATTTTTTAATTTTGTTAAATTAATTTTATTTATATAATAAATAAAGGTTAATATCAATAGTTGTAATAATCAATCCATAACATTTAGATAATATCACTAGTTATCAGGGTCGGACTAGCTTTTCTAAAGGGCCCGCGAAAACAGTGGCCAAAAGGGCCCTTCAAATTAATAATAATAGATTAAAAAATAATAAAAATATTACATTACAAAAAATTATCTGTTGGTAGTAAGACTAATATAACATATTTATAAAATCAATATTGAAATTTGTAGGTAAGCTTTTTCGTCATAACATAATATTTTGGAAATTTCTAGATTCATTTTCAGTGTTTATAAAGTGGTTTTAATCAATGTTTTTGCTTGCAAAATGCACATTCCATTAGTTTGTACATATGTATATATATATATATATAGTTTAATAATAAATCCTTAAGTATATGTTTTAAAATGGTCACAACTTCTGAAGTACTGGTAAAATATGTTAAAGACCCGTAATTTGCTTAATTAGATAATTTTTTAATTTATAAGCTAGTTTAATATGTATGTTGCCATTAAAAAAATAAAGTTTACAATCTTAAAAATAATAAGGAATGAATAGAAAAACTTATTATTATTAACCGACAAATAATGAAATATACGAAACAAAAAAATACCAAAATTAATATTCTTAACATAATTATTATTCTAAGAGAAATCAAGGGGTTAATGTTAAAATAATCGTCCTGTATTGCCTTTATAACATCTATTAAGTATCTAGCGAGTACTAATAGATTAGTGAACACATTGGCATAGGTAAAGTATAGCGCCATCTACACAATAGCCGAATTTGAAATGTTTGGCTAAATATTATTTTGCTAGAGTTCGTTAATGTACTGTAAATGTAGTGTAATATTTTTAAAATAAACTATACACATTTACTAAGTAAAAAGTTATAAATAAACAATTTTTTTTATTTAAAAATAATAATATAAAATTGCTTTAATTGATAACTAAAAATATGATTTTGTATTATACTTAAATATAAACTTAAATTAAATAAAAGAAATACATAAATACTTTTTACCATCACGAGTAGCGTTTTAACACAATAGATTTATTTTAAAGTTATATATTAATTATTGTTAATAATTATAGTAGCATATTTATACTAAAATGTAAACGTTAATAATTATATATATAATATGTCTCATACTTAACTGACAACTTTTGATAAAATTATTTGTTTATTGAAAGTTTTTTAATATTAATTATATAATTCTTGAACTTTATAATAACTTTTTTATAAAATGTAAATATATATTATAAAAAAAGTATATATACCATATATATAAATAATTTATTTACATTTATTTTTTCAACATATTAATTTAACCATTTTTTTGTTTTTTCTTACATAAAATTCTGATGAGTCAATATCAATTTTAGAACACAAGTACTCATTGAGTTACATGCATTTTAATACATTGGAACGCGTGTTGGTAGAACTCATACTGGTGTGTATTTATAATGCATACCCCACCCGCGTTTTTCACCTTACTCTAAATGTAGTTTAAGTATATAATAACTATTTAAAAATAAAAATTCAATAAAATGATAATTGTGTCAAAAGTTATAAGCGTTGTCAGTTAGGCCTGAGACACTATATTATTTGTTATAAAATAAAAATTGATTAGAATTTAAAAAAAAGGACTTATTTGATAGCTCCAATAAATATTTCAATCATTATTATTATATTATACCATTGAAATTATTTTAGACACAACATAAATAATGTACTAATATTATCAATCGAAGATTAAGTAGCATAAAAATTGAATAGTTAATATGATTTTAATGCGTTAATAATATCATAAATAATAAAGATAACATCATCAACAATTTAGTATTAAATACAGTCACGTTTGAATAACACGATTATTTTCATAGTTAAACGTATATTTTAGATGTTTATAATTAAGGACCTTTTAAATTAATCATATATTATGAATGAATCATCGAAAAATGACTAAGTATAATTTTTAGTGATCACAAATACCTGATCTCAATTTGAATATGTCGATTAAATATATTCAAATATGAAAGAGCGGAATTAAAGGCATAAGATAGGTTCCCATAGTTTAAAAAAATATATAATGACTTCAAAGTACGTATGCTAACATAATCTAAATTTTAATTCATCCATATAATGTATTTTTTTAGTCATTTAAGATTGCAAAGCTTTAAGTATATTATAGTTTAATATTCGGACGTTAACAATCACGTTGAATTTTCAAAGGTTATTATTAATAACTGTCGATAAAGTACAGAACCTGTTTAAAATTGATATTCATTTATGAAAATGACCAGATTGTGATAGAGAAACAATAAATTTTGTGTTGTAAAAAACTGATAATAGACTATTATCTATAACTGTGGATAATGTACAACTATATAAAAAGGTGGGAGCATAATAATCTATAATAATTGTAACGCACATGTGTACAGTAGTCTTAGAAGAAATAAGAAACCAGTGAATTTATATTTTAGTACGCAACGTGTTGTGTTCGTGTGTGCAGTGAAACGCTGTTGTACGGACTCATTAATTTAGTTGACTTGGCCGAGATAGACATACTTTTTTTAAACAGTTTCAATCATTTTACTAAATATAAGTTCCAAGATCGTTTTTGTTTGAATCGAATAAAAGATAAAATAACGTACATCTAATTTCAAGAGGATTCCATTATTTGTATAATATTTAATTCTGAGTCAATTTTAATAAACCCACAAATTTCTGTAATCTGGTATGGATAAATCTGAGATACTCAATGGGATTGTCAACACCACCATTTTACACTCTGATTATAAACAAACTAATGGATATTCAAAAAACGTTATAACAAATGGTACTCATGAAAAAAAAAATGTTGAATCTACCGTTACAAATGACTTGTATTCCAATAAAAGTGCCAACACTTATCATAACTTCTCCAGGAGCCGGTGTGATTCCATCACTTTAGATGATGACAAAGAGTCCAAAATTTTGGTCATTTACACGGGTGGCACTATAGGAATGATGCGAAACAATGACGACGGTGAGAACACTTAACATTTTTTTGCTTTCTTTCATCTATTAAAATCGCTGATATTGTTGTAAAATCTAAATCGTGCGTAATTTGCTTTTTAGAAACGTGTATTATTTTGAGTACAGCGCCCAAATTATATTTTTATTTGTTTTCGTGTTACAATTTTACAACTAGTACAATTAGATACCGTTTTTTACCAAAGAATGACCTGTGTTTAAAACTACAAGAGCTAAGACCTATACTAAAATAAAAACAACATTTAAGTGTATCAGATTTTGTAGTTTATTGGCGACATGCCCTGACAGTTTTTTTCGTAAGTTTATTTGTTGACTGGTCTGATATTATTGTGTTTAGACGGTTAAGTAAAACGTTAGTATTATTCGTTGTTCTATTTTTGTAAAAATAATTTTTTGGCTAGTTTCTCGTTTTAATAAGCTGAAAAACCTTAGATTTGTAAAATATTTATACTATTTAGTAAATCTTTTTGGAATAATTCAGTCCTTGTGTGTTCTATGAATTAATTTTTTTTATTAATAGTAGAATTAAATATCTCGTTAATAAAAATATATTTCAATTAAGTTCAATAACTTCTCATATTTCTAATCAAACTACTTGGGTATTTCAACGGCCGTAGTACTGAAGTAATAATGTAAAATTGCACTGTTTATGATATGTTATCAATGATATCCTATTGTAATAACAGTCATAAATTATTATTCGAAAAAAATTCCGTTTCTGTTATCAAACTATTTTGTAGGTCATTAATTTATTTTGTTTTAAATAAGTTATTTCGTGTTGAATCGTAGGAAAAGTAAATGTAAAAGTGAAATAGATATAAGTGGCAAGATACGACAAGAAAAAATAAAACAAAAGTATCCGTCTATCTTTCATTTGATAGTTATTATTGTACATCAAGGCCGTTATTGTAGGGGATATTGAAAATAGAACCCTTCCATGATAAAAATTTATGAATCATAAAGATCAATTTTGGAGAAAGTAGACATTTTTTTTATATATATCCTCCTAAAATAATCTTGAGGAACTTTTGGTTGAGTTTAGATGAGTTATGAAGATTCTTCATTAATTTTGAGAGCTACAATATCCAAGTCCTAGTTTTAGTTTAAGTATAAATTTTTATGTATAACGTCTCAGTTGATAAACAAATTTTTGTAGGACATTTTTTGTAGTCAGTTATCTTTTAATTTTTTAAAAACTAAACCTAGAAACTTACGTTTTTGTAAGAGTTATTCTAAGAATGTTAAAAATTGTACAAGGTTAATATAAAATAAATGAGGGATATTAAATTAAAATTGCCGCTGAGGCGCTGAAACCCTTAAAATGTCATTGTGTATTTAGCGCTGATGATGGTAATATTATTTCCCAAATACGAAATACATCATTTTTGTATAGTTAACAATGGTAATGGGTTTTCTAATACTCTCTAATATCTCAAAAAGAAATAATATTTTTTATTAAAAATAATTATTTTCATTCATCTATTTTTCCATTTTTAGTAAAAAAAATTTTGTTACCCCAAATATTTCTAGAAGGGCCCCTCTAACTCCATTTTAATATTTCTCTGTAGATTAAAGGCAATTCAAGTAGTTTATAATTATACATCTGCATCATACAATACAAATAAACTATTTCTTTACTTTAATTGATGTCTAAATATTAAGGATACATAAAATTCAATTTTAATTTTATATCATTTTATAATTTTATCAATTAGGAATTAAAATTTTTCAAACAATATTTTATCATATTATAATAGAAAATTTATATAATTGGTTTTGATTATTGATATCGAACAAATTATTGATAAACTAATTATATCTTAACTATATTGGGTAAAGATTAAACTGTTGATATTAATTAACTTTTACACTATAAAAAAGAGCTGTATAATTACTTTGTTGTTTTTGTACTTGCAGTTTAATCGTATTTTTATGGAGTGCAATTATTTGACTATTTAACTCAGATTTAATGGCCTCTCAATGTTAAACATAAGGTATAAGTCCCAAGTTTTGCTTAGAGTTTTAAATTCTGTCATAGTCTCCGATAAATAATAAAATTTTATATAGGAATATTTATAAGGAGGGGAAAAATTATGTTAGACCTCCCAAACAATTTCTAAAAATTTGAATTAAATAATAAGTTTATTGTTTGTTAATTATAATTTTTTAAATTTTATATTGGTGACTTAGTTTAAAACACTATGTATACATCAATTTTATAAACATTAATTTATTTTCATTGTTTGGCAAATTTTAATTTAGTTTTCGTCCATATATTATACTTAATCAAGGAGAGACAATATTTTACATAAACTGCCATTTTAAGAACAGTTGAATAAAAAAGAAAAAACTTTACTTAATAAATATTTTATTGTATTTATTTGATTGTAAATTGAAAATTATTGTTAAGTTATGTTATAACTTTATTGTCCAAAAGAAATATTTGATATCGTATTTATAAATGTGTAATGGCATTATTTTAACCAGACTCAGATTAAGGGGGCGAACGCCCCGGGTCATATGACCTTAAATAAATTTTACTAATCTATCATGATTAGTGCACATGCAGTTTTTTTATTCGTTACTTTCTAAGGTAGCAATATTTTTCATATGGGGTCACGTAGGTCTTAATTGGGGCCCTGGTTTTAACCTTATGTGGATAGTTGATCTAACGATGGATAATAACCAGTCTTTAAACTAGCTTTAGAACTTTAAAATTCATGATACTTCAATTGTAATTTACTTGTATAGAAAGTCTTTGATCTAGTTCACTATAAAAAAAAACAGCGTGAGTGTATTACCAAGTGTTTTATCATATTGTTCAAAAACCAATGTCTTAAGTCATACTTGAAAATTTACGTAAAAATAGGTACAATCGCATATAACTAATTTGTATATTACATTTAATAACTTGTTGATCTCTTTGTTTGAACAACGCAATTAGAGTACATAATTCAGTGAAAAATTATAAGCTATTTAAATAGAAATTATTAATCGAAATTATTTAATCAACCTGAAAAGTATACAGATTACCAAGATAAAAATTTTTACTTGCATTTCGACATATCACGCACCTGCTACTTTCCAATGAGCAATACTAAACATTGATTAAACTCATCGAACATGTGGCACGCATGCATTGACTAAGCTTTAATAATTAATCTACTAAAGACTTTTTTTTAAAAAAAAGATAAAGAGTAGATATTTTCACAACATAAAATACAACAGAACGTCGTCCAAATTCCAATAGGTTATATACTTGCATGTGTTCAATCTCGATTTTAAGACTTTATTCGATATTGGTAAATTAATAATAGCAAAAGAATTTATCGCTATAAATCATTAAGCTGAAAATACATTTTAGTTGTATATAATTATGTATTAATTTAGTTGTATATATTGTATGTATATAATTCGAAATTAAAATTGATTTCTCGGTATTCGCTATTTATTATAAAGAAGTCATCAGCAATGTTTTCATAAAATATGATTTCACCTGTAAATTGAAATATTACAATTATATCTAATAGCTAAAAAATAACAAAGGTATGAAAAATTTACGTTTTATTTTAGTTGCCGATAATATTAGTTAGGTATTATAAAATAAGTTTATTAATGTTAATTGATAACATCAGTAAAGTTTCTCCAAAGCCTTTGAAGTATTTTTATATCCATGTTAAGTCATTTAGTCAACATTTTTATACTTGTATCCAAATAGTACATTAAAAAAAACCAGCACAGTGGGGTCGTGGCATAGTGGGGTCTAGTATAGATGATATCTGACAGTGATTAAAATCACTATCATAAAAAACGCTTCGATGCAAATCTGTAGATAGTGTTTCATTTAAAAAAAAAAATTTGTCAAAAAAGTAGGTCAAGTGAGAGCTGAGAAAATAAATGATAGCTACAAAAAAAAACCACATAGTAAAATAATATTAATATGAATTTCTTTTCACGAGAGGAGACTACAGTAATGGAATCCTTGATATTTATTGAAGTTATTGAATATAAATGAAATAAAAATCAAATGAGTTAAACATTTTTTTCTAACTCAAAAAGAATTAAGAAAAAATTCAGTGCCACAGGCATGAAAGACCCAAGTGTTACCGTCTCAGAAACCGTACGTCTCATTCGTCACTTAATAAAAATGGAAATTTAGCTAGTTCAAATTTTAAAGTTATTTTTCTTGACTTCAAAGACACAAAAAAATTACAATATGTTAAATTTTTTATACTATGTTAATTAGATTGATAGAATATTTCTGAAAATCAGTGTAATCTCCTTATAATAAAATAAAATACAAAACCAAAAATTTTAACACAAAAATAGCATATTTTTGAATATGGTAGCTATTTTCACCATGAAGACAAAATAAAGTCCAACATTTTTTTTTTTAATATTAAAGTATATTACATAAGCTTTAATTTAAGATATATATATATAATTGTCAGTATTTCCGGAACACTTTCAAAAATTAAGTTGAAAAAGTTCTACTTTCTATATGCATTTTTATGTTTTGAACCCCCCTGTATTAAGGGAAATGATCCGATTTATAAAAAAAGTATGTCGAATTAAAGAAGTATATAAATATTATTTCTCATAAAAAAATTGTATTGATCCATACATTTTTCAAAGAGTTATAGCGTTATAAAGTTAAAAATATGAAAAATAATATTTTTACAAAAATCGTATTTTAATATTAACTTTGATGACTGTTTTCACCATGAAAACAAAATAAAGTCCGAAATTTTTTCAATTTTTGAGGGTAATGTCTTCGACTAGATACGATTTGTGATATTTTGACGTATCATGGAAAGAAATCAGTTAAGTGAGAGCTGAGAAAAAGTAGTAACAGACACAAAAAAAATAAATAATTATAAATAAAAAAAAAACACCTCATAGTAAAATTAATACCTTCTCAGCTTCGCATCGAAGCTAAAAATTGCAAATTTAGTTCAATTATTGTCGGTAAGGCTTTATATTAGATCAATTTTATATTTAGTAAAATTTTTAGACAACTATAATAAATTAAAATAAAGTAATTATTTTTAACTATTTTCACTTACATATAATAGGAATAAAGATAAAATTTCGATTTAGGTCTGTGAAAATTCTAGTGAAGGTACCAAGCAACTCCTCTCATAACTGCTTATGTGAAAGGTTTTTTTTTATTTAAAAATCTCGTTGGTAATTTTATTCTCAGTGATGAATTGTCCTTTATCCTTCCGAACAAGTTCATAAATTAAATAAGAACTTGTTTGTTTGTGTTCTTATCAAAGTGGTGTATAATACATCACTGACAAGTTCTCATATATTCTTCTAAAATAATAAAATCTTAATATATTTTTATCTTATTTATATTAAAATTAAAATAATATAGATTCATCTAATAAACTTCTAGAAAAATATTTTTTATTTTTGTTTTACTTGTAATTTATTGTTTAATGTAAAATATTTACTTTGGCTTTACAGTATTAGTCCCTACACCAAATAGTTTTGAAAGAAAAATCAAACAAGATCCCCATTTGTATGATGCTGCATATGCTCAAAAGAAATATGGACCAGCCATGAATTCTAGCCCACTTGTTTTACCGTAAGTATAACAAATTCATAATAGTATTTATATATATAATATCAACGTATAATTATTATTATAATTTAAATATAAATCTAGAAAGGTTAAAGGATTCCGAAGAATTATTTACTCAATATATCAATATAATGAACTTCTAGATTCTAGCAATATGAGTATAAAAGACTGGAAACAAATAGCTGAAGATATATGGGTAATAATTTTAATAATTGTTTCTCTAGAGAACTTGTGTAACATTTTAATTAATTTAAGTATAATCATTGGCAGAAATTTATGAAAAAATTTGGGTGGGGCCTAAATTGATTTTTCCTCCACTTTTTTACATTTTTTTTTTAATACATATAACTAGCTGACCCGGAAAACGTTGTTTTGCCAAATAGTTTTTTTAAACATTAAGTGGACCCAGCGAACTTAACACCTTCAGATAAACTTAATACATAAAACCATTTGTTTAGCATGCTAAACTTATGTAATTCATTAAGAAATTTTGATTTTAATCATGATTCGTCAACATTATTCTTGTCAACATGTATTACTTTCAAAGTATAATTTTAATTGATCCTTCAAATATTTACTTTATATTTGTTTACATTCATCTTATATATTTTTTTTAGTTTAATATTTATAACTTTAAAGTTTTAAGTTTTATAGTTTGTTATTAATTGTATTGATTTGTATTATTTCTTTACTGTCTGCCCAAATTGGCGTAATCATCATCATCATTTTGTATGATGAAATAAATAAATAAATAAATAATAAAACATATAGTCCAACAATTTATTTATTGATTTATTTGAATTGAAACAAAAATCAGTTGAGTGCAATATGATAAATAATGTTTTTCGTTTTGTTTTCTGGCACAAAAACAAACAACGAAGACGGTTTGCCAACACACGAACTATTAACGTATATCTTGCAGTGCGAAAAACATGAAAATTCTAAATTTCTCCATGTTGATCCATTTTTTGGTGTTGGCCGGGGGGCCCCATGTTAACGATTAATTATGTCATATGGACAATTACACAAAGCTTGCTGTAGCTTTTTCAATTCGAAAAAACATTCCGGAACTCAAAAAGTCAGTCATCAAAAAAATAAGAAAAAAAAATGGTTTTTCCAAAATTTTTGTTCGTAAAAACTTTCTTCTGCAAATTATGAACAATTTCAAAAAAATTTGCGCCAAATCGGCCCAGCCGTTCTAAAAATGTTATACATTTTTGGCTCCATTTATATATATATAAATTTTCATAATACTTGTTTTTTTAAACGGAGTTAAGTATTCTCGATTTCCGCCTATGAGTATAAATTATATATACAGGATGATTTTTTTAATACTTTATTCTCTAATTTCTCGATTTCTCTTAAAATAATAACTATGTTAAGATGATTATTTTTGTTATTTTTTAATTTTATATATTTATTAACATGCTTATATTAGTTTCACATGTATGTTGTTTGTTGTTTTTGTAAGTTTGTAATTCCACGGGCCACGTGTTATTCTGTATATGTCGCCTATCCCGTCGTCTATGGCCATAAGACTAGACTGTCGTAACGTATTCACTCCACCCCGCTCATCGCTCGCCAACAACAATTTTTTCTTGTATAATTTTATTTTTGGTTTTCGTACCCGTACACGTGTGCGTGACATTAATTATATATATATATAAACAAATTTTTATTTTGACTGACCAATACCGTCCACGTGAATGCGCCTTACGTATATACATATACAGGGTGTTCAGTAATTTAAGAAACAGTTAAATTGTTACAAACAATGAGTACAATAGAAATTCGTTTCCTTATTTACTGAACACTCTGTATATACTCCTATAGCCGCCGCACATGCCTCGCGTACAACGTTCCCCCGCGCCCCGCCCTCACACAAAACACAGCTATACCTCGTGCATGATACGTTTACGTACTTAAGTCTCTTTAAAAGGGTGTTTTTTTAGTTTTTTTTTTAACTTTATTTATTTTTCACTTTTTAGTTTCATGTTATAATAGTAGTTACTATCAATATCATGGTTGTAACGGGTAACGGGAAATCAGGGTTCGATTCCGGGGAGGGAGTCTGAGAAACGGCTACCACATCTAAGAAAAGCAGCAGGCGCGTAATTACCCACTCCAAGAACATGGAGGTAGTGACGAAAAATGACGATACGGGAATCATCCTTTATAATCGGAATGAATACACTCTATATCTCTTAATGAGAATAAAGCGTGTTAATATATATTTTTAATAGTAATTAGAATATATATATGTATATATACATGTAAAGCGACTTATGTACGTAAACGTATCATGCACTAGGTATAGACTTGTTTTGTGGGCAGGGGGAACATTATACTTAAGTTATAAACGGCGGCAGCGGCGGTAGGAATATATAAATATAATATATACGTAAGGCGCATTACACGCGTGCGGTATTGGTCAGTCAAAATAAAAATTTGTTTATATATATATATAGTATTGATGACAAGCACGCGTGTACGGGTACGAAAACAAAAAAATAAAATTATACAATAAAAAATTGTTGTCGGCGAACGGTAAGCGGGGTGGGGTGAATGCGTTACGACAATCTAGTCTCAAGGTTATAGACGACGGGATACGCGAGAATAATAACACGTGGCGCGTGGAGTTGCAAACTTACAACAAACAACAAACAACATACATGTGAAACTAATAAAAGCGTGTTAAAAATGATCTAATTAAGAAAATGACTGGTCGATAACAACTTTTGAAATAGTACTTCGGAAGTCATTAACATTTTTAAATATTGATTGGAGAAAAAGTGAGGCAATGTAATGTGTAATGATAATAAATATAGTTTAAAAAAACGATTTTAAAGCGTATTGAACTAAAAAATTAATAAATATAGTTTAAAAAAACTAAAAAATACCCTTTAAAGCACATCGAACTAAAAAGTTAAAAATAATTTTAAAAGGGTGTTTTTTTAGATTTTTTAAACTATATTTATTTTTTGCTTTTTAGTTTCATGTTATGATAGTAGTTACTATCAATATCTTGGTTGTTACGGGTAACGGGAAATCAGAGTTCGATTCCGGAGAGGGAGTCAGAGGAACGGCTACTACATCCAAGGAAAGCAGCAGGCGCGCAAACTACTCACTCCCCAAACGTGGAGGTAGTGACGAAAAATGACGATACGGAAATCATCCCTCGTAATCGGAATGAATACTTTATATCTCTTAATTAGAATAAATCGTGTTAATATATTAATTTTAATAGTAATTAGAATATATATGTATACAAGTAAAGCGACTTAAGTACGCAAACGTATCATGCACTAGGTATAGCCGTGTTTTGTGGGCGGGCGGTCGGACTAACGTTATACCTGAGGTATAAACGGCGGTAGGAATATATACGTAAGCCGTATGGCACGCGGATGGTATTGGTCAGTCAAAATAAAAATTTGTTTATATATATATATATATAATATTGTTGACAAGCACGTGTGTACTGGTACGATAACCAAAAATAAAATTATACAAGAAAAAATTGTTTTTGGCCATCGGTGAGCGGGATGGGGTGAATGCGTTACAACAGTCTAGTCTTATGGCCATAGACGACGGGATAGGCGACATAATAACACGTGGCGCGTGGAGTTACAAACTTACAACAAACAACATACATGTGAAACTAATATAGGCGTGTTAAAAATAACATAACCCCACCTCACCACCACTGTGTTTTACAATAGTTAACTTCCGAAATAATGCTTCAAAAATTGTTATCGACCCGTCATTTTCTTAATTAGATCATTCTTATTTTATAAGTCATTTAAATAACTATCATGTTATAACTATATGTTATAATTAAAAAATATGAAGTTGATATCCTTATAAGGGATGAATTAAAAAGATATTTAATAATTGATAAATCAAGAAATATATGAAAATAAAAAATACCAAAAATAATTGTTTGAACATAATTATTATATTAAGTAAAACCTAGTTGCTAATGTTAAAATAATTTCCCTGTATTCTTTGGTTAATTGAAATAAATAAACTTTAGCAAGCATATGAACTGTATGATGGATTTGTCGTTTTACATGGCACTGATACATTGGCTTACACTGCATCTGCATTATCATTTATGTTTGAAAATCTTGGAAAAACTGTTATAATTACTGGAGCACAAGTATGTAGTATAATATTGTTTATCAGTTTAGTTTGTATATTGTCTTTTAAATAGGTATTAGTAATTTAATTTTTGTTTTTAGCTTCCAGTGTTTGACTTAAGGACTGATGGAAATGATAATTTTGTCAATAGTTTACTTATAGCTGGCAACTATAATATACCAGAAGTAACAATATTTTTCCACAACAAGCTTTTGAGAGGGAATAGGACTGTAAAAATAGACAGTGAAAATTTTGATGCTTTTGATTCACCAAATGTACCTCCTTTAGCTATTGCAGGCATTGAAATAAATGGTAATTTACATTAATCTTTAAACTTAAATAATAACTTACTAATTTGGTTTTATAACAGTATCATTTAGACAGATATACAGACCTAAAACTATAGAGAAATTTTCTGTTCATTTGTCTTTGAATGAACATGTTAGTTTATTGAGAATATTTCCAAACATAACCGCTGACACTGTAAATATATAATACTTTTTCATAATAATGTATAATATTATGTGCTTCATATTTGAATTTATTTTAGGTTAGAACGTTTTTACAACCACCAATTGAAGGTGTAGTTTTACAAACTTACGGGGCCGGTAATTTACCATGTAATAGAGAAGATATTATGGCTGAAGTAAAGAAAGCCACTGATAGAGGAGTAATGATTTTAAATTGTAGTCAATGTAGCAAGGGTTCAGTAAACAGTGTTTATCAAACTGGACATGTAAATATGAACACTTATTAATTGTACTTTATTTTATATGTAATATGTATACAATAGTTCATTTAACATACACAGTTATTGCATAATATATAATATCTAGTCAAATTTTTTTATGATAAATTTGTTCTAAAGGCTTTCTTTATTTTTATTTTAGATATTAAATCAAGTTGGTGTAATATCTGGAAATGATATTACCCCTGAAGCCGCATTAGCTAAACTTTCTTATGTTTTATCCAAAGATGATTGGGATTTCAACACAAAGAGAATGGTAATGTATTTACATATAATTAATTGTATGGTAGTATGTGTATATTTGCAAGTATTTTGTTTTATTATTTATACTTTACAATTTAGATGCTTGGCAGGAATTTAAGAGGTGAAATGGGCGGAGGAAAATCTGAGCAGCCAAATACTTTAGCTGAATGGGATCTAGTTGATGCAGTTGCTCGTACTCTTCATGTTTCCAGCCCTCACGAGTTAAATGTGTTAGGCGCTGTTTTATTCCCTGCTATGTTAAGTAATGCTATTGTTCGTTCAGACTTAACAAAGCTAGATGAATTGAAAGGATTTGTAAGTTTAAAAAATTGAATCTTTTTTAACATTATTATTCAATTACAGTATTCCTCTATAGGGAGCTGATTTTTCTGCTCAAAATTCTGATGGTCGTACAGGTTTACATTTGGCATGTGCTTTAGGTAATCTAAAAGTTGTTCGTTATCTGTTATTAAATGGATCTAGTGTACATATTAAAGATAGGTATGAAAATTTTATATTTTTGAATTCATTATAATTAATATACCTAAACAACTATAATAAATTCATATGTAGGTTTGACCGAACGCCTATTATTGATGCTGTGGAAAATGACCATATTGAAGTTATTAAATTATTACGAAGATGTGGTGCTCATTTAAACAGCCATCCAAAATATATTGGTCAGCAATTATGCAAGTGTGTATTATCTTGTTATACTATAACTTAAAATCTTCATGATAATGTTTTTATTTTATATTATTTTTTCTTTCTAGTGCTGCTGCAAAAGGGAATATTAATAGATTAGAATCTTATGCTACAGCTGGAGCTGATATAGCTACTTTATCTGATATTAATGGTCGAACAGCATTACATACAGTAAGTATTTATATGAATAAAAATTATTCAAGTTAGCAATATAAATTAATGAAATATATTTTATATTTATATTTTAGGCAGCACTATTGAACCATGAAGATGTTATTGATTACTTAATAGATAATCAGTTTGCTGATGGAGAAATATTAGATTTAATGTCAGTGAGTCCGATAGAAATAGCTAGGCGAAAAGGACATACAAACATTCTAGAAAAATTAATGAACTTATCAAAGTATATAAATAAATGAATTGTACCAATTGCGTTTTTTCTTTATAAATTACCTATGACTAATTATTAGGTACATGTTTTGTAAGACATGATAAAGGCTAGTGTTTTTGACATTATAAATTTATAATATTTTGTATTATTTATAATTTTATTTGGGTTAATTATAAAAACAATGTTTAAGTATTGCATTAAATTATAAAAATATAATAATTTTTCTGAACTATTGTTAAAATATTGAAGTAATCAGTCAAAACAAATATGTATAGTTTATTTATTAATAATATATTAAAGTACTACTATGTATGGAACACATACTGTAAAAATAATTACATTAAAAATAAAATATAAAATTTTATAATTCTCAAAATATTTTTTTTTTTTAATTTTTTTTTTATATTTTTTCTTTGTAATTTTTAAATACCATATTAATGTACTTAAAAAAAATAAAAGAAGAAAAATGTAATTTTAACATCAGAATAGTCTTCTTATTTCTTGCCTTAATCACAACTACTTGAGGTTGGCCACCTTTATCCTAAACTTCCACTTGTCACAATTTCCCATATCATCTACGCTCACATCAGCTGTAATAGAACAGAATAGTAATTATTAAATTAACTATAATAAATTATTAATGCTCACTATATATTTTTTAAATCCTTGATTGTACAATAATTATTACTAGAAAAATATATATAGTTGAAGTTACTCTTAAAGTAAATTAAGATTATTAAAAAAATTACCATAACAATAATATTGTTCAAAGACTATTTGGTAGGATTGATTATAATATAATATATAAAGTTTTGGATTATTAATGAAATATGGCTGCAATTTATTTATTTATTTAATTATACGGGGTGAGCCCTTGTGATACAAAATATTTTTTTAGTTACATTAATATATATATATATATATATACAAAAGTAAAGGTCCTCATTGGCATTTTTCATCAGGCGTCTTATTGGCTCATTAGACACATAATTGGTGTTACAGAAAGAGATGAAAAANCTCATTAGACACATAATTGGTGTTGCAGAAAGAGATGAAAAATGAAGAATGATGTCTTGACTGTCTTTGAGAAACTTTGAAATTGATTAAATATAAAATAGATGGAGAGTCCACTTTACCATTAAACAAATTTTCTAAAAACTTAGTACCTAATACATTACGGCGATCAGCTAGTGAATTTAGATTTAGGTGTTGAGAAATGGGTGCATATTCGTGGTCGGGATGAGGAATTTTTAATACAAAGCCAGCAAACCGCAGAAATCTACGCTGTACTCTTTCAATCAAGTAGGAGTCCGTTAGTTGTATGCGGATTCCAGATGATAGACCCATATTCTAAGATTGGGCGGACTAATGCGCAGTAGAGTGTTTTTATCACATCTTTAAGCTTAAAGTCCGATGATACCCTCATAATAAAACCAAGAACTTTAAACGCCTTACAACAAATCATCTCGATATGGGGCTTAGGATCTAAAGAAGTATTAAATTTGAAGCCAAGGTCAAGAATGGTTTCATTAACATGTGTAATTTTGGTATTGCCGATAAAGTAACAATGTACAATGGGAGATTGAGAGCGTGTAAAAGATATGACTTGGCATTTGGAAATATTTAATGATAAACCCAGCACTTCAAACCAGATTTTAAATCGGTTTAAATCGTGCTGAAGATTAATACATTCCTCAGGTGAATTGATTTGCATGAAGAGTTTCATGTTGTCAGCAAAACAAAGCAACTTGCAATTCTCTAAGGTACGGCTGACTCCATTTACAAGAAGGGAAAATAAAAGGGGCGCTATATGGCCCTCTTTGAGGAACTCCCGATGAGGCCAAAAATAAATTGGATCTAGTGCCATGTACTTTTACCCATTGATATCTATTGAGGAGATATGAGTGAAACGAAGATAAAAAAGGTTCACCGAAACCTATAGTTTTAAGGACTGTAATCAACACGTTATGATTTATGGAGTCGAACGCCTTTTTGAAGTCAGTATACAGAGTTCTCATTGTTTGTAACAATGAGAACAATAGAAACCCGTTTCCTGACTTATTGAACACCCTGTATATAACATCAACCTGCGATCGCTGATGGAATGCATTAAAAACATAATTTGTAAATACAATATTGCAGGTAGTGGTAGAACGTCCCTGAAAAAAGCCATGCTGTTCTTCAGTAATTACTTTGTTGACAGAAGTTTGAAGTTTACTTAAAATAATTTTTTCAAAAATTTTAGAGACGTGCGATTGTATAGAAATTGGTCTGTAATTTGAAATAACTGAGGGAACTAAAATTTAAATTATATTAAAAATATTTAACTCATAAATCCATAAAATTTTTTTAATTCGTGTATTTGTAGTTTGGGTGTTTTTTATTAATTAAAATACTGATAGTATGTGTTCAGCGTTGATGAATGGTAACATAGATCACGAAATAAGTATACCCAAATTTTCAGTAATTTTTTGTGACATTTTTAGTTAAATAATTTTATTTTAAACTAAAATTTTTAATATAATTAATTTAAATAATATTAGCCACAAGTGATCAATTTTTATTATATGCCTGCAATACACATTGGTACTCCGTAATTGCAAGAACTTACTTTTGTGGTTCTTCTGTTGTCTATTTATGTTATTTTAGGCGCAATTATATAGCATTAAGTTGTATTTTAATATCAAACTCGACCAGTTTTTTATTTTTTTATTGCTAATACATCAGTATTAATAATTAAGTAATCCATACTCGTACCAGTAATAAATGTTGTATCTACAACCCTTTTATATATATGTCGAACTGAGTAAAAAATTCTAATGAATTTTTATGAAAATACAAATATAAAATCAAAATATTCAAATAAAACGTAAAATTATAATTCCAGTCAGTTCAACAAAAGCGTGTCTTAAGTATTTTTTTTATCTATGAAAGATAATTTTTAATTTTTACTTTTTACATTAAAGTAGATACATAATAGTATTTCTCTTTTAATTAGTACACCGTGAAATTTCCATAGTTATCCAGAATAGCTTGACGATTTTTCGGTATATCTTTACTCAAGTTCTTCGGCGTATTCCACGGTTAATAACTTCCAAGTTTCACAAATGACTACTGCGAGACACTTAAAATTCTGAAACATGTTCTTTCAAATTTGGACTTCAAAATACTCTATATATTTTCGATTGGATTTTCATCTGGCGAATGTAATGGTCTATACAACATTGTGATGCCGCTGTAGAGTCAACTTCGGTGTTTTGGATAATCGTCTTGTAGAATCCAATCATCGTCATTCGATCTAAACATTTTTTCACTGACTTTATAAGCCAACGTTGGTAATTTTTCAACATTTTTTGTGCGTTCAAATTCTTATTGAACATATCTAAATCCCTGTTTTAAATTGCATCCCTAAATATGAATTTTACGGGTTACTTAATTTTGAGCTGAACCAAACGCATTATACGGTGTGACCATACACGCATTACAGAAAACTAAGTCCAAAAAGTTGTTTCGCCAAAAAAACAACATTATTCCAATTTCGGTTAATATTTTCAGCGACCATACATTATTTTGGATGTTATAACTGTTTTAAAAATAGTAGGTGGAGGTGTAGTAAGGGTTATTTTATTTTATCATTACGTATTACTCTGCCGCAATCTTCTTCCAATCAAAATTTTAAAACGTTAATAAGCTGTTTAATAGGTCTTAAGTTGTTATCGACCAGTCATTTTCTTATAAATCATAAAACTTGTAATCAGGATATAGATAAGGAAATAGGAGTTTTTGTTGCTTATGGAATAATTACTTCTGAAAATTAAACACTACAGATTTGTATCGAAGCATTTTTTAGGATAGTTTTTTTAATCACTAACAGATGTCATGTACCCACTGTACTGCGACCGCTCTGTGCTGGGTAATTTTTTTTGTAAGCAAAATTATTTTTGCTCCTTTTAAATCTTAATTGACCCTAATATGGAATTACATACTTGCTATTAATATTACTACATATATAAGTATTAAATGAGATTTTATATTTTATGCATAAATTTAATTCAATTTATACAGGTGGTTCACAATACACTGACAAATCTAAAAACTTTTTAAGTAATTTATGTTACTTAAAAAAAAATTATTTTAAAATTCTTAAACTATGTTAAGAAACTCATTTTTTATTACTCGTTTTTAATAATAAAAAAAACTTGTTTTATTTAAAAACGTAGAATAAACAGTGTTATGGAAATAAATGACAAATATTTTTTGATGCCAACTAAATTAATTAATCTGTTTTAAAATTAGTTCTGGATCTGTTTTTATTATAAATCTATTCCTTAAACTGTAAATACTAGCTAGGCTAATAATCTTGTAATTATTAAGCACAAAGCACCCACGCTTTTATCACAATAATACTAGTATTTTTCGTTCATAATTGTTTTAAGCTTATTTTAAAAATTATTTTAAACTTTTAGCTTCGATGCGAAGCTGAGAAGGTATTAATTTTACTATGATGTGTTTTTTTTTTATTTTTTTTTATTTTTATTTTATTTTTTTTTTGTGTCTGTTACCACTTTTTCTCAGCTCTCACCGAACCGATTTCTTTCCATGATACGTCAAAAGATCACAAATCGTAACTAGTCGAAGACATTACCCTTCAAAATTGAAAAAATTTCCCTCGTTCCCCGTAAATGGGGGAAACCTCCAAAAAAATTACAAATTTAAAAATCGCTAATTTTCGAAATTTTTTCAATTTTTTATACTAAAAACTGCCGTAACTTTTTCAAAAATGAACATATGAATATAATTTTTTTTTTATAGATGCTTGATGTCTGTACCTATTATTTGGTATATTTTTTTTGTAAATTTGACCCATTATCTGACCACAGGGGGGGATTTAAAATGACACTTTTTTCACAAAAAATTAATTATTTCAACTTAACTTTTGAAAATGTTCCGGAAGGTCTGACACTTTTATATATATCTTAAATTAAAGCTAATGTAATATACTTTAATTTGAAAAAAAAAAATTTGACCTCTGGACTTGTCTTCACGGCGAAAATGGCTACCGAATGCTATTTTCGTGTGAAAATTCTCGATTTTATTATTTATATTATATTTAACTTTATAATGCTATAACTTATTGAAAAGTTTATGGATCCACACAATTTTTTTATGAGAAATAATATTTTTTAATAAACCCTTTTTCATTCGACATACTTTATCTTAATCGAGATATTAATAAGGAACCAGCAGATCAAGTAGCTTTTGGAATAAAACACCAATTTTTTTAAAATTAAACACTATCTAAAGATTTGCATCGAAGCGTTTATTTTTGATAGTGATTTTAATCACTGTCAGATATCATTATACTTGATCCACCTATGCCACGTCACCACTGTGCCGCGACCCCCCTGTGCTGGGTTTTTTAACTTTATTATGCTATAACTTTTTGAAAAATATATGGATCATTACAATTTTTTATGAGAAATAATAATTTTTAATTTATTTAAACTGATTATAATTTTTATCATTAAAACTGTTATAAAATTATCTTTTTTTTTCTTTTTAGATCCCAATTTGCTGATACATGTCGAAACCAAAAATAGTCGTACTGTTTTTTAGTATTTTAATATTAGTGGTATTTTCTTTCTCGATGTACTGTCTTTTAAATAAAAAAAAAAAAGAAATACTGTTTATAAGATTAGTTTACTTAAATTTTTATAACAAAAAACTTGAAATAAATGGTCGTTTTGTAAATGAAAAAGTGTAAGTTTAAATTACACTTTTAGCAAAAGACGCACATTAAAAACGTATTACAATACAGGATATTTGTTTAATATAGGTTATTTGTTTTTACTGAAATTTTTGAATTTTTATTGCATAAAAAAGAAGCTATATTTTAAAAATAATCTAATATTTTTAGCAACTTAATTAGTGACTAATCAATAGTGAACAGTATTTTTCGAACATTTAAATAAATATTAACTAGCTCAGTGATGTACCATATTCTCATTAGTGATTAATTTCGGGAAAGAGTAGTGTGCCGATTACATCATAACAATTATTTTTAATTATCCTATTGTAATAAAGTTTAAAATCTTCATTTCAATCTTGTGATTGTTTTATTTTTCCGATCTAAAAAGAAAAAAAAAGATAATTTTATAACAGTTTTAATGATAAAAATTATAATCAGTTTAAATAAATAATAAATGATTTGTGAAATTATAATAATATCACATTATCTGTGAGTTTTTCCAGTTTTTCTCGTTATGTAATCGTTTAAACTAAAAATAAACTGCATCACAAAACTCCCAGTAAAATTTCAATACAAATAGATGGGTCACACTAAAGTGAAATTTTTTCCAACTTTAAACTTTGGGTTCAGGGGAGGGCACGAAAGCTACAAGAAATCGAGTGACCACTTAATTTGTATGAGAATTTCGTGGGAAATACCGATGTGATGTTTATTTTTTATTAAAATAAAATTTAAAGTGGGGGAACCGTAAAACCCTCAATTTTGGAGGTAGGAAATTTTAGTTTTCGATTTCGCTATTTTTAGGTCCTACTGAATATCATCCTACTACTCATGCACATAGCATTTACTAACACCCTGTGTATATATACAGGGTGATTGACTAACTATGCCTCACGAATTATCTCTGAAAATATAAGAGTTATAAACAATTTTTTTTTTTTAATCATTATGGATCTTTGATGAGATGTTTCACGAGAAAATTTAAATTTTTACCACCATCCCTTTTGCTTAAAAATAGTGTCAACTTCATATTTTCAAATGGCAACACTATTTTTTTTTTATACCATTAGATTTAGTTTAATAAAAAAAAAATGTTTTGTAAAAAAAATATTTTATTTTATTAAATATTAAGCGCTCCACGGCTCTCTAAAGTTTAGGGTTTATTAAGAAAAAATCATTACAGACGAGAACGTTATGGATCGTAAATCGATAAGCGCTACCACTTCTTATCGGTACACTAAATAATAACGATACTATATTTACCCGACTACTGTTTTATTTGTTAAATCCCCTAAACTTTAAATAGTAATATCTCGCTTAGAATTTATTAAAATTGATTTTTTTTTTTTTGAGAAAATTTTTTTTTTTATTATTAACAAGATTAATAAAAAAAAAAACTGGGTTGCTATTTGAAAAACTAAAGTTGATATTGATTTAAGGGTTGAGGGATGAAGATTGAATCTTCATTTTTCTTGTCAAGTAGCTCAACAAAGATTTATAACAAATAAAATAATTACATATACGATAATATTAATATTTTTAAAGAAAATTCGTGAGGCATAGTTAGTCAATCACCCTGTATATATATAAATTTGTTTATATATACATAATATTGATGACAAGTACGCGTGTACGGGTACGATGACCAAAAATAAATTTATACAGGTATAATGTTGCCGTCGTGTGGAGAACGAAACGTGGGGTGGGCTGAATGTGTTATGACAGTCTAGTCTCAAGGCCATAGACGACGGAATATGCGAAAACGCGTGACGCTTGGAGAGTTACAAACATACATACATATAGGTGATACTAATATAAGCGTGTTAAAAAAATGAAAAAAATAATGAGTACACTATAGTGTAACGAGGATCTCAGATAATTTATTTGTATAATAACTTGTTGAATAAAGGTCGTTTAAAAAAATATTCCAAGAGAAAATTTATAAGGACCCCTCTGCCTCACTGAATCACTGGTTTTGTTTAAATGTAAAATTAAAAAAAAAATTGTTTTCAAGAAGAAACGTCAGAGTTAAACTATTAGACATTTATTTTTCAAAAATGTAAGTAAATATACAGTTTGATTTGTAATTGTAATACAAACAGAATTATCGAATAACTACGTTATTAACGTTAACGATATTTACATTATAATATTATAAGAAACATGATGATATTACTCACAATTTAACTTAAAGTTGTACATTCATCAACGCAAATAGATTATTTGCCCAACATTTTGTACAACGAAGAAATATTTGTCTATTGTGTTTCATTTCTGATTTCTATATTTTTGCTTATTTATATGCTGAGACTATAAATACTAAATGTCGCATTGTTATTAGTCGTTTTTATAAATCTTGTATCATTTTTGTCAATAATTAGCAAATTCGTTTATAATTTTGTGAATAATATGAATATCATCATAATACTGAACGCATTAGTTCTTATAATTAATTTTTTCCATTTTTCACAAACGGAAGATTTATCAGAACTACCCAATGGACTTATAATGATGAAAGAATATCTTTTCTGCGATGACGATGATTTTTTTCTAGCAAACCTAGACAATGGCAAAGTTACAATGAATCAATACTACGTGGCAATGCAAAACAGGGCGTATAAATATTTATATTTGTTATCATATTATTTTCATCATATAGTTATATTTTATGATGTAGATGTAGTAATAAATTCAATAGACACATGTTATAATATCATTGTTGAATACATGAATCATCACAATATACCATCTATAGCTCATTTGAAAGAGAAATTACCACAGCGTAACAAACGTGGTATGACACTTCTTAGAGATGTTCAAAAATCATTAATGGAATTTATGACTTCAATTAGTCGTTTATTTGTTTTTTATCACAAAAACACTAAATCATTTGAGAGTGTAAAAGATAATGATATTTTAAAAAAAAAATTCTATACAAATGTAAATTCCGGATTATTATTTAAAGGTATACTCAAAAAAGGTTTAGATTTTCCATTTAATAATAATAATGAATTTATTCAATTGAACCAGTATTTTGATGCTACATTTATAATTATCGAAGTAATAAGCGAAGAGTACCGATTAACGAATTTATTAGAACTACCCAACGGACTTATAATGATGAAAGAATATCTTTTCTGTGATAAAGATGATTTTTGTCTAAGTGACATAAACAAAGGGAAAGTTACAAAACAGCAATACTACGTGGCAATGCAAAACAGGGCGTATAAATATTTATATTTGCTATCGTTTTATTATAAAGTTATAGTTTCAAAAGGCAAAATAAAAATACTGATAAAAAATATACACGACTGTTTGAAAATCGTTATCAATTACATGAAACACCACAATGTACCCATATCAGATTTGGAAGAGCAGTTACCACAGTTTAATGATCCCAGTTGTATATATTTGGTCGATGTTCAAACATTAATAATGAATTTTATGATTTCGATTATGGATTTATTCGTTTTTTATGACATAAGCAACAAAATATTTAAGAAAGCAAATGTTGATGAAAATTTAAAAGAAATACTTTGTGAAAATATAGAGTCCGGATTATTATTTAAAGGTATACTCAAAAAAGGTTTAGATTTCCCATTTAATAATAATAATGAATTTATTCAATTGAACCAGTATTTTAATGCTACATTAATAATTATCGAAGCAATAAGTGAAGAGTACCGATTAACGAATTTATTAGAATTACCCAACGGACTTATAATGATGAAAGAATATCTTTTCTGTGATAAAGATGATTTTTGTCTAAGTGACATAAACAAAGGGAAAGTTACAAAACAGCAATACTACATGGCAATGCAAAACAGGGCGTATAAATATTTATATTTGTTAGCTTATTATTATAATGTTATAGTTTCATTAGGCGATATAAAAATAATGAAAGAAAATATACACGAATGTTTGAAAATCATTATTAATTACATGAAACACCACAATGTACCCATATCAGATTTGGAAAAGCAGTTACCACAGTTTAATGATCCCAGTTGTATATATGGGGTCGATGTTCAAACATTAATAATGAATTTTATGACTTCGATTATGGATTTATTCGTTTATTATGACAATGATACTAAATCATTTAAGAAAGCAAATGTTAATGAAAATTTAAAAGAAATACTTTGTGCAAATATAAAGTCCGGATTATTATTTAAAGGTATACTCAAAGATGGTTTAGTTTTTCCGTTTGATAACAATAATAATTATAATTTTGACCGTGTATGTGAAATGAATAAAACTGCTGCATATATAATTATCCAATATATACAGGAAGAGTACCAAGTAAAAAATCAAAACTAGCTTCTTGTATTAATTTTTTATTAACAAGTGTGACATCAAACAAATGAACATTTCTTATATCATAATTTTGAATTTTAGTCTAACTCTATTATTTATCTAATTATATTATATAAATTTAAATTATTTCGTTAATAAGTATTTTATAGTTGATTGCACCTGATATCTCATTTACTTGCATAATAAATACAATATTGATAAAATTTTTTTTTTTAGATACATATATTTTTTAATTAATCAATTACTAGTTATTTATTAGTACCATCCTATACAACTTATAGGATTGTACACTTAATTTTTTTAAATGGCAACATATATATTTATCTCGGTTACACAATAGGATTCATTTTATTAAGAAATCACACTGATTTTACACATCGAAGATTACACTAATCTTCACTAGCGTATTAAGAGAAAGTTAGGGGAACTAATCTCCCTAATGTTTTTTTTTGAAACCTTTTTTATTTTANAAGTTAGGGAGATCCTAATGTTTTTTTTTGAAACCTTTTTTATTTTACTATAAACTTGTATACATTTTTAAAAATTTTATTTATTAATTTTAAGATACCTCACAAGAGGAGCTCATAGTAGTGAGGTCCCTGATTTTCATAAACGTTATACGAGTCTAACCTATATTAAATATAAAGGTAAGAATCTGTTTGATTAGATTTTTTAGTTTCAATGCAAAGTTGTGATAGTGTGCGTTTTTTTATGTCCATCCATGAAATTTCTCATCTTTCAGTGGACTGATTTTAGAGATCGATATTATTTAGGAACCCGTTTTTAATATAACTGAACTTTATAGTAGACACCAATTATTAGAAAAAAAACCCTTAATTTTAAAAATTTAAACAAATATCTCAAAATAGAGCCACTGTGAAAACGACATTTCTAAAAAAAATTGTCTGCCTTTAAAAACTATTATAAGTTGTGACATAAAAATTTCACCTATTATTATTTATATCTAACATACCTTATATGAAATAAAAATTTATTGGTGAATAATTAAACCGGTCCTAGGTGTCGGTCTAATAGTATGTACTGATGTCCTCGTAGTTTCCATTCCAGTTCAATAACAAAAATTCGTCGTTCTCTGGTAATTTGGTCGTGTTGTTCTCTCTCGAGCCATGTATAATTCACTTTTGTGTTTGAGATTGAAATCATGATGGTAGCTTGATTTTCATTTTTCGGCCCTGATAATCAAGCCATTATTAAAGATTACTCGATTACTACTGAAACAAGTAAAATGTAAAAGTATCGTTGGTTGTAGAGTAACGTCTCAGGGATGGTAAGTATACGATTACCGACAATAATAGAGTTAAAGTGAAAGGATCTCGGGGTATGTGTGCCTACAGAAGCACGTCTAACATATGTGAATATAGGATAAGAGGCAACAAACGATTACTACTTAGCTCCTACATAAAAAATGTTATACACACGAATTTATATGATCTGTGAGTATCGCGTTTTTATGCAATTATTTGAGTCAGTTCATTTCCGATGAACCTTACTCTAATTGTTTATTATTTAAAATCCTTTGGTGAAGATATAATTGTGAAGATGAAGATATAACTTTCCTTTATATAGGGTATATAAAGGAAAGTTGTCCGATTAAAAAAAAAAGTATGACGAATGAAATAAATATATAAATAGTATTTCTCATGAAAAAATTGCATTGATCCATACTTAGTAATATAAAGTTAAAAATGTAAAATATAAAATGGAGAATTTTATCACAAATATAGTATACGGTAGTCATTTACACCGTGAAGACAAAATAAAGTATCGAAGCTAATATATAATTCGATTGCATTATGCCTATTACTTATTGAAATACCATAACCTGACTGGACAGAGTACTAGTACAATAATATCACAATTAGTGTTTAATTAATAATAAGCGTTCTTCAAAGTGTCTTTCTACTTTGTCGACCAGCCAACCTGATCTCTACCGTTTACTGAAAACAAATAGTACGGGCCATCGTAGTATAGGACAATAGTATATTACATTGTGCAAAGAACTCAAATTGAGCTCGCATCAACCTTAGATTATTCCATGAATGACTGAAAAGACACAGGGCATTTGGAAATATTTTAATGCACAGAACAGTAATTTATTTAGAATCTTATAATTGGTTTCGCAAATTGTTAAATTATAAATGTGTTAGTATAAAATACTACAGAGAAGGTCGACGAATATAGCATATAAATATACAAAAGAGTTTACATAAAATGTCAAAAGGATATAAAATTTGATTATTACCTTGGGTAGATTTAATATAGAGTTTTACTGGTAAAATAGTTACACACGAATTAACATAATAATAAAAGTACCCTAGATTTAAGTGAAACATATATGCGTATGTATTGCTAATAGCGATATTAACTATAAGTGTCTTTGCAACCGAATATTTGTGTTACCAGGTTATTTAGAGTTAAGTGAAAACATTTACTTGTTTAATAAATCTATGATGATTGTTGAAAATCAATAATTTGTTATGTTAATGCTAGTAATTCTAAAGGCATTATACTATTGCTAGATAAGAATTCATACAGGGTCTTGAGGTTAATTGTATGTCGTTGTGTTTTATCATATATTATATTATGATATCTATATTTCTACTCTAAGTAAGTCGTATTATTCAGTAAAACGTTTCTTAACCATAAGTACTTACATTGTTAGAACACAGTTTTATTTATACGTTATGTTGTAATTTATCTTTCGTCGATCCACATTATAATCCTCTTTCCACAATTATATCTTCACCAAAGGATTTTAAATAATAAACAATTAGAGTAAGGTTCATCGGAAATGAACTGACTCAAATAATTGCATAAAAACGCGATACTCACAGATCATATAAATTCGTGTGTATAACATTTTTTATGTAGGAGCTAAGTAGTAACCGTTTGTTGCCTCTTATCCTATATTCACATATGTTAGACGTGCTTCTGTAGGCACACATACCCCGAGATCCTTTCACTTTAACTCTATTATTGTCGGTAATCGTATACTTACCATCCCTGAGACGTTACTCTACAACCAACGATACTTTTACATTTTACTTGTTTCAGTAGTAATCAAGTAATCTTTAATAATGGCTTGATTACCGGGGCCGAAAAATGAAAGGATAGCCTTCAGCTCATTCAGCGATACGCTTTTAAAATCATCTATACTTGTAAATAGACGTCCATTTAAGGTTATCTTTATTTTTGGAAATAGAAAAATCACACGAAGTAATGTCTGATGAACATTGAGGCTGGGGCATCGTTACAGTATTGTTTATGGTAAAAAATCCACAAACAAGCAATAAGCAGGTGCATTATCGTGGTACTAAAGACATGAATAGTTTGTCACAAATCTGGTCGTTTTTTTCGGATTGCTTCACGCAAAGGCGTATAACTTGTAAGTAGTACTATTTATTGACTTCGTGGCAAAAATTTATGATGCACTACATCATTAAAATCAAAGAACACAGTGAGCATAACCTTCAATCACGATTGCACTTGTCGAGCGTTTTTTGGTCTTGGCGATCCCGAATGCCTCCAATGGGACGATCGAGCCTTAGATTTGACGTTGTATCCATAAACCCATGTTTCTTCACCTTCAACGTCTTCACAGTCATCTTGGAAACGCTTATACGACTCGTAAACAACTTCTTTACTAACAGCAGACTCACCGTAGGCCTTTGTTAACATTTCACACATTTTTGTTCAATTTGTACGCACAATTTGATACAAATCTTTTGATTCATTTTTTTTTAACAAACAAAATCGCTGAGCTCATAAAAACATGTTTAACCTTATCGGCTGCCACTGACAAAGTAAAAAATGAATCCAGCTGAAAATTTTAACATACTTTAGGGACATATGTACCAACATTATGAAAAAAAAAATTAGATAATTGGACTAACCAAACCCGCAAAATTAAAAAATTCCCGTTATATTCTGAACACGCCTCGTATTAAATATGATATTTTAGGTATCATTATCATTAAATAAAAATTAATTTTCACTACATTTTTTAGATTACTATAAATTATAACACACATCCAATATGGATTGGTGGTGGTAAAATGCGAACGCACATAATAGAATAAGAGATCAAAAATAAAATAGCCGAACTAATAATACGAACTGAGGACAGTCGCCCGTTTATTATTATAAACGTCATTCAAAATTGATGTATATATATATGTATATGTCACAATATAATATATTATATTATAATAAGCACTGAGATATCCAAACACTAAGCTATAATAAAAAACGGTAGCACAGTGGGGTCGCGGCACAGTGTGAGGGTGGCATAGTTGGGACAAGTATAGATGATATCAGACAGTGATTAAAATCACTATCATAAGCAACGCTTCGATGCAAATCTGTAGATAGTGTTTAATTTTAAAAAATTGATGGATTATTCCAAAAGTAAAATTTTAACTCAAAAAGATTTAAGAAAAATTTGCTAAGGAATTGTTTTTTCTGAATTTGTAAACGTTCGTCGCATTCGTTTTTTTGATAAAATTGGCAATTTAGGCTGATTCAAAATTAATTTTTTCGACTTTAAAGAAAAAAAAAAATGAAATAATTTTAACTTTATATTTGTTCATTTTTTAAAAAGTTATGGCAATTTTTAGAAAAAAAAGTTTAAAAAATACTGTATATATTTTATTATTAAGAGTAAAATTTATTTCTTAAAACAGTGATATTGCGAAACCTGATTTTCAAACCTAAAAAGAAGGTTTAAAATTAAAACTGATTTTTAACATAAATTTTTATAATTTTCAATATTCTTCAACAAAATTTAGTACAATACTTGATTATACTAGTTCTATTATAGTAGATGTGGCTAATATGATACGTTGTATTTCGGAATTAAATATATTAATACACAATGTGTATTCAAATATTAGTTATCTATTTTCAGACTAATAAAAGTAATATATGTAGCAGGAAAAATAATTTATACTATAATGACAATTACAATAAAATTATTACAAAATTAATGAACATAAATAAAAAATGAAAATGATGATAAGTACAAATAAAATAATATCTAATTATAATAAAAAACGTTCATTAAAAATGAATAAAAAAACTGTTACTAAATAGTTACATATCAAATTATCGAATCTTTAATGATCACAGTTATTAAAATGTTTTTTCCTTGAACTTCAATTTCAAATTCACCAATTTAATTTTGAATCTATTTCATCACAATATTGCTACCCAATATGCTTTATAGCTTCTTGTTTTGTATGTTAATAGTCTTTGTGGGATGGGATTAGCATATCATATCATGTTAAAAATGTATGTATATTGTATAGTTTGTAAGGTTTAGAAAACCATAGAAATTTTTATTTTGACCACAAAGGATAAGGAATTATTACATTACATTGTGACATAAAAAAAATTAAAAAACCCAGCACAGGGGGGTCGCGGCACAGTGGTGACGCGGCATAGTTGGATCAAGTAAATGATATCTGACAGTGATTAAAATCACTATCAAAAATAAACGCTTCGATGCAAATCTTTAGATAGTGTTTAATTTTAAAAAAATTGGTGTTTTATTCCAAAAGCTACTTGATCTGCTGGTTCCTTATTAATATCTCGATTAAGATAAAGTATGTCGAATGAAAAAGGGTTTATTAAAAAATATTATTTCTCATAAAAAAATTGTGTGGATCCATAAACTTTTCAATAAGTTATAGCATTATAAAGTTAAATATAATATAAATAATAAAATCGAGAATTTTCACACGAAAATAGCATTCGGTAGCCATTTTCGCCGTGAAGACAAGTCCAGAGGTCAAATTTTTTTTTTTCAAATTAAAGTATATTACATTAGCTTTAATTTAAGATATATATAAAAGTGTCAGACCTTCCGGAACATTTTCAAAAGTTAAGTTGAAAAAGTTAATTTTTTGTGAAAAAGTTGTCATTTTAAATCCCCCCCTGTGGGCAGATAATGGGTCAAATTTACAAAAAAAATATACCAAATAATAGGTAAAGACATCAAGCATCTATATAAAAAAAATTTATATTGATATGTTCATTTTTGAAAAAGTTAGAGCATTATTAAGTTAAAAATATAAAAAAAAATTATTTTACAAAAATCGTAATTTTTTATTAACTTTGATGTCAACTTTCACCACGAAGACAAGTCCAGAGGTCAAATTTTTTTTTTTCAAATTAAAGTATATTACATAAGCTTTAATTTAAGATATATATAAAAGTGTCAGACCTTCCGGAACATTTTCAAAAGTTAAGTTGAAAAAGTTCTACTTTCTATATGCATTTTTTATATTTGAAGCCCCCCCATATATAGGGAAATAGTCTGATTTAAAAAAAAAGTATATCCAATGAAAGATGTATATAAATACTACTTCTCATGAAAAAATTGTATTGATCCATACATTTTTTAAAAAGTTATAGCACTTTAAAGTAAAAAATGTAAATTATAAAATCGAAAATTTTCACACAAAAATAGCATTCGGTAGCCGTTTTCACCATGAAGACAAGTCCAGAGGTCAAATTTTTTTTTTTCAAATTAAAGTACATTACATTAGCTTTAATTTAAGATATATATAAAAGTGTCAGACCTTCCGGAACATTTTCAAAAGTTAAGTTGAAAAAGTTAATTTTTTGTGAAAAAGTTGTCATTTTAAATCCCTCCCTGTTGGAGGTTAAGTGTCAGATTTACAAAAAAAATATACCAAATGATAGGTAAAGACATCAAGCATCTATATAAAAAAAAATTATATTGNTCCCTGTTGGAGGTTAAGTGTCAGATTTACAAAAAAAAATATACCAAATGATAGGTAAAGACATCAAGCATCTATATAAAAAAAAATTATATTCATACGTTCATTTTTGAAAAAGTTACGGCAGTTTTTAGTAAAAAAAATTGAAAAAATTTCGAAAATTAGCGATTTTTAAATTTGTAATTTTTTTGGAGGTTTCCCCCATTTACGGGGAACGAGGGAAATTTTTTCAATTTTGAAGGGTAATGTCTTCGACTAGATACGATTTGTGATCTTTTGACGTATCGTTGAAAGAAATCCGTTCGGTGAGAGCTGAGAAAAAGTGGTAACAGACACAAAAAAAAAAAAAAAAAAAAAAAAAAAAAAAAAAAAACTCATCATAGTAAAACCAATACCTTCTCAGCTTTGCATCGAAGCGAAAATGTCGAAATTTAAAAATTGTAATTTTTTGGGGGATTTTCACTATTTACAGGGAATGAGGGCAAAATTTTCAATTTTTGAGGATAATGTTCAACTAGATACGATTCGTGATCACAAAAAATAAATAAACACATCACAGTAAAATTAATACCTTTTTAGCTTCGCATCAAAGCTATTAATAATATGATAGAGTATGTTGTCAAGTCGGTAGAGAGTTACAGATAGGTCGATTGTCACAACAGCAATATGCAGTCACGGCGACCTTATCACGGTGTCAATGACGGGAAAATGTATTACGACCACTGATTGTTATATTGATAGGTGAATGGCTAATATCGAGAGATACATGAATGAGCACCAGCCTAAGGCAGGGCATAGTATCGTGTCAATTAATATTTAATAAGAAATAAGATTGCCCAAAGTATGGCACTTGCTAGCAAGAATACGTTTTGACCGACCAAGATTCTCATTAAAAGATAGACTAGGATAAATTCACTTTTAGAATTTAATCCTTGATCAAAATTTATATTATTTAAATTCAGTTTAACAAAAAATATTAGATGTGAAATCATTTCATTTCTGTTAATTTTTGGTTTTATAGAAGTTTAAAAAAAGATTTTTTCATTAAAAATTATATTGAAATATTTTTAACTTCATTATTGAAATAATAAAATTAAAGCAGTTATAAATAGTCATTGCAAAAATTATGAAACAATTTTTTTAAATACTATTTGTTGTTGTTTTTTCTGAGTAAACACACTATACTTGGAATCAGAATTGTATTGAACAATTTATATTATAAATTGTTCAATACAATACTGATTAAATGGTATATTTTATATTATAATACTTACCATAATAATTATTATCATTATAATAGTAAAACTATTAAATTTTTTCTTAAACAATGACATCTTTAAAGTTTGTCCTAAAGTACTTGTTATTATTTTTTGCCATCATATGTGCCAAATCACATAGAAATACAAAACAAAATACTAGTATTGTGAATGATCTTTTTAAATGTAAAGGATGGAAAAATTTTAAACATGTAAAAAGTGTAACGTACTTAACGAATATATATGATCTTTCGAGTATTATTCAAGACAAAATATCTACAGATGATTGTAATAAAAAAGTAAGAGTTGCAACTATTTTCCTTGGTTGTAAATATGGATATATTTTAGAAGACATTGTAAATTCTGTCGGTTATCAACGACTATTCTGTGGCCAAATAACGAGTAACAAATCTTATAAATCACAAGATCACAATTGCACTGAAAAATTAATAGAACTAATATTCAATATAACTTTATTTGCAAAAAAACTGCAAGGAGCCTTGTATGCTATAGATAATTTACATTCTATTAAATGGCAACTTAGTACTACGAAACCTAAAATTATTATGAAATCAGTGTTTGAGAAGTTCAAAAATTTACAAAACCAAGTAAATAAATATATCGCGTTGGGAGATGATTTGAAAGACGACAAAAATATAATAAATACTATAAAAATATACATAAGCCGGATAAAAAAAGAATTAAAATTTGAAATCAACCGTTATTGTAAATTGGAATTGAGCATTAATTTCTTATATATTCAAATATTGAAGAATGAATACACAAATGATATCAATAAATGTACAAAAATATTTAAATCTGGCAGTGAAATTATAATAAGTGGTATCAAGGAGTTAATTATCGAAAATTTTACCAATTTAGTCTTCGAATTTAATTCAAAAACTGAGGAAACATTCATTCCAGATTCATTATGTCATCTTTTTGAAGGTATAGTTATGTTTCATAATTATATAATTGGTAGAATAATTCATTTTTAGTATAAATAGAGGTCTTTGATTTTGGAATAAACTAATGATATAATTCCTTAAAGAACTATTATGAATATTTTTGTGTGTTTTTTCAAGTGCCGTATTCGTTAATGAACGTTAGCAAACATGTTAGTAATTTGATCTTCATTAATGGCTGTTTCAAATAAATATATCGTAGATGTATTGAACCATTTTCTAAGGTTATCTAATCAAAAAATTTGATGTCTTACACGAGGCCACTTTCCAACTATTTTACCCAGGATTATTAAATGTATTAAACTATATTTTTCTGGATGTCGCATAATATGTCCTAGATATTAAAGCTTTCGTGATTTTATTGTTTTTACCACTTCAAGTTCTTTATTCATTCTTTCCAGCATATTGATATTCGTTATATGATCGCATCAACTAATTTTTAATACTCTGCGGTATATCCATATCTCAAAGCTTGAATTCTTTGTGCGTTTAGTTTGTCCTAAACAAACAAATGAATGTTATAAATATTTAATTTTTTATATTATTAGAGACAAATAATAAAAAATATGCTATTAACAAAGTCCAAAACTGTAATCACTGGATTACAAAAATTATAATATTTGTCAAAAAATCTTGGACCACTGTGTATAGTTATATATAATTTACATAAAATAAAATTAAAACAAATTTTATTTGAAAAATTTATTTTAACGCTTATTTTATTTGATCAGATGATAAACCACGTGAATGAAGAATTTGAGCTAGAATCAGAAGACTATACTAGAAAAATACACGAAATTTATAAAATTGATTTAAATAATTTTTTCATTATGTAAAAATATAACTTAGCATAAAAACATAACTTTTAGTTGAATCTAAATATCATTTGTGAAATAATTAAAAATAAAGTTTATAGGGAAAGAATTAATAAAGAAGAATGATAATAGCATCATTTGTAAAGACATAATAAATACAAGTACTTTAATTTCTAGTTATTACTTGATTAGTGTAGTTAGTGTTTTAAAAATACTCTTACCTGATATCCGCTGGAACAGTAATGATCTCGGCTGGTGATTTATAGTTGCTTAAGGAGTCTGTTAAATTATAGAGGATGCGTTAATTACAAGAGAATAATTTGTGAATTATATATGCGTATATATTTTTAAGTAAAGTGTTAGTTACTTTAACAGACGTAAGTTTTAAGCTAAGTAAGAAAAGTTAAACTAAAACTCAAATCAACATACACACAAAGAATACACAGGTTTGGTCTGCAAGGGAAAACTATGATGATAACTTGATACACGATAAGAAGTGAATGAGAGAGGGGACTATAGTCCTTAGCCCTTTTATAATAGGCAAAAGAGTGGTCTGTTAATACGTGTGCAGCATAAATGGGGCATATGACTCTGAATATTTTTATAAATGATACCTTCAACTGTTAGTCATATAAATGAAAAGGTTAAATGGTCCAGTGTGCCTTATGACATCATAGTAATCCTTAATAGTTCGCACTAAAGGGTTAACTATTATTTACCACCATAATATTGGTGTCACGAAAACGCGACGAAAAGTGTTGACTCATGATAATTATTGACAAACCATTTTAACGGAAAAGCAAAAATGAAATGTACTTATTAAACAGTGTATCTTTGCATTATGTGAGTTAGTAAATATTTTGTTGACGAATATTACATTTGGTACATCATTTCACATGTTTTTACAATTTAAATGTTTCACATTTTTAATATATTTTTTCAATAACTACAAAAATTACAATTAACTTTTATGAAAAATAATTATTTTTCACATAAAATACGCGAGGCACTAGAATTTTGACAATTTAAACATATACAGAAATTAAGATAACCATGAAACATTTATCAGGATTAAAAAAAATATAATTTTACGGAACTTCATACGTTTTTGCTATTCACTTGAAATATTATATATCTGGGATATTCGACAAATATTTTCATTTATATGGATAACCATGGAGAACATCAGGAAACGTATCTCTAGTTCCAAACGTATCAATTAGCTCATAAACCAACCAACTTTTAAAGATTGTATCAAATACGTTGTAAGGTTATGTTGTAAGGATACGAAAATAGTAAAGTTTGTCAAAACTGTATACGTCAGTTTAGCAGTGCTTGACATTAGCAAGACGTTAAAGTACTACTATCACACTAGTAAGTAAACACGATTTTTATTATATTTTTATTTTTAAGATATTCATATGAATTAATGTTTTTTAGATTTTTTCATATACCTACTCAGAGTCCGCGACTATTACTGGGATTAAGCTGACAGTCCCGATTTACTGGTGCATTTGGATGCATCTAGCCTGCCCAATGGTCACTCAAGTTACTCAGATGCCAGAAAAAAAACGCTCAGTCTGTTTTCAGCCTAGACTGGTGGCCTCATCCTCTTCGAGATTGCTACTCTTCAATCAAAGAGCTACGCTTATGATAGGGAAGGCATCAAACTTATCAAGTCAAATGAGATCTGCGGACACGTAGTTGGCAACCATCTGTCTTTAGATAAATACAAGTGGTGTTTGTTTGAAGACCATGACGATGATTCAAAAAGAGCGTTGGCTGGACAGATTGGCCGTGCGGTCATTGAAGCGGTACGTGGTGGTGACAAATGTCATCGCTACTCTATACTCTGTAACGCCAAAACGTGTCGATTCGTTCGCTAGAGCACGAGATTCGCACTTTGCGTGTGACCAGGTTAGCGTTCAATCGTTTCAAAGATATGTGCTACACACTTGACAATAGAATCAACACACTAACCCACGGGCAATATTATGCCATCAACACCATTACCTCAACCATCAGCAAAAGACCTATAGTTTCGTTTATTTTTTAGTTATACTCGTTGGAAAAAAATATTGTTAAGTATACAAATTGAAATATACAGAGTGGTCTAGCGTTCACTGACAACTTAAATAACTTTTGATCTAGTTAATATTTTAACAATTTAAACATTGTATTAACAATTTTAACTAAAATGTAAAAGAAATAATCGAAGATAGCTATTTTGTAGAGTAGATTTTAAGAAAAATTTTGGTAAAAAAATATCTTATTAATATTAAGTAGTAAATAGTCAGTATCATTTTAAAGTTTATGAAAATTTGAATTTTCATTTGTTATTTTACGGTTTTGAACATTGAATAACGTTTTGAGACAAGGGAAGAAGAAAAGTAAGATAGGTAACTTATTTTAAACATTTTTCTTAAATTTTTTAAAATTAGAAAAATGATATTAATTAAATTATTTATATAGCCCTCAAGTATATTAACTATTAAAAAAAAATAACAAAAAAAATTAACTGGATCAAAAGTTCCTGGGCTACGCTGTATTTGTAAATATACATGTACTCGTATATATTTAATTTTAAGAATTTTTAAATGTAACATAATATAAAAAAAAATTATTTTTTGTAAATAAATAAAAACGTATATTAAAAAAATTTACAATTATGAAAAATTATAATTTACAATAATGTATATAATTATATACATACAAATTTTTTTGACTTCTCTGTTGAATGGGTTGTACGTTATTATCTGATCGTGTAGCATCAGACAGTAATACGCAGTAGAATCAGGTATCTTTTTATCCATTTCAAATTCTATCATTAATTCAAAGACTTAATTGTATCGTTTTGATGCAATAAATCTACCACAACTAAAGGTGCATGCTAATGCTACTCATTTTGAAACAACAGGGGCTCACCAAAGTCTTTGCCGTAGTACGATTTTTGGAAATCGGTGTACGCATTTTATAAAACTGTTTATGTTGATAACGAAAACCAACCGGAAAACCTAAGAATACATTTCATTGTTTAGGTAGACCTTGTTAAGTTAGCAACTTAAACATAATAAACTAAAACTTAAACTTATAAACATAATTTATTCTTGATAACATTTATATGCTACGGTTATAAATAGTGAAAAACATGAAATCTATCAATTTTTCAGAGTGAACTTTGATAATTGGAAATTTCGGGTGAAAACGCTACTTGAAGAAAAATATGTATTATCTTACATTAAGGAGGAAAAGCCAGCAATGATAAATGATGTTTAGAGGAAAGGAGATGCTAAATGTCAGTCTTTCATAATTCAATGTATTGCTGATAACCATCTCGAGTAAGTTGATGAAGCAATTAAAGAATTAAGATGCGTTGGTACTAAACTTGTTATACATGATGTTATTTGTCATTTAATTTAACATGCGGTAATAACTGAAATATAAACATTGTCACCTAATGAATTATCATAAGGGTTTGTGAATGGGAGACTTCTTGTTGAGGAAGCAAAAAAAAAGCATGGGATAACAGCAAAAAAAAATCGAAATTCCAGCTGCATTTGAAATAATATGTTAGGTTGCGGTCGAGAAGGACATAAAATTAGTTAATATCGTAATAAAGATAAAAACAATAAATATAAGTATGCGAGTTATTGCCTTGGAGAAAATGACAGTTACGAAGAAGCAATTGAATTTGTATATATGTCCAATAGAAATAGTAATTTAAAATCATATTCTAAAAGCATGGTTAGTACAATATTAATTTTCTGTTTGGATTTGGGAGCGACAGATCATATTTTGAATGATATAACATATTTTTCAGATTCACAAATGTTAAATAATCCCATAAATGTATCAGTTGCGAAGAATGGTATATTAATTAATGCAACTTATGTAGGTAATATACTTTTAAATAGTATAGTAAATAGACGAACTGTTAAATATCTTCTAAAAAATGTGTTATATGTACAAGACTTAAAACATAATCTACTATCTGTTTCTCAAATGAAAAGTGCATGTTTAAATATATCTTTTTTTTAATGGAAAAGCAAAAATAACCAAAAATAATAAGATTATTGCTTATGGATTTATAAATGAAAATTTATATAAAGTTGATGAAGTAAATGGGTAATAAATGTAATAAGTAATGGGTAAACACCGGGTGTTTTTTATTTTAAATAGAAGTAGTATTATTTACAATAATAATAATAAGACAGATTGATATATATGGATAATTTCCGTTTCAAAGAAATAACGGTGACCGTTGAAAAAAGATAATTGATATCATGTCCCGGTACCCGAGAGACCGGTTTACGCTGCCCCGCATGGCATTACGTCGCAAAAATGTGGTCGACACTGGTTTTGAGGGTAGAGACCCGTGGGCCGTTTATTAATGAGCAACAACAGGTTACAAAAAAAAAAAAAAAAAAAAACCGANATTAATGAGCAACAACAGGTTACAAAAAAAAAAAAAAAAACAAACCGAAAAGACGAACACAATAATAACAATCTTGGCATAATATCGCGGCACTTTCGCTGGCCCCGCCGGGTGACAAAAGTTTAGCAGCGTTGATGGTTGCGGGTGCGGATCGGTTCGTCAACGTTGTCACTCTCACAACGGGAAGAACACTCCCGTATCGTTTGCGGCGCGTCGTGTCGGCCGTGCGGCACTTGCTGGACTTTGCACCGTAGCGTATGACACGCGGTGTTGGTCAGTCAAATATTCATAGGGCGACGGCTGATAAAGGTGGCACGAGTCGCGGGGCATCGTGTAAAACGAAGCGACGCGGGCCGTGTCAGACGTAAAGAGAAAGCACCGCGATCGCCACTCAGCGGTAACGCGGGAAATGCGATGCGACCGCGATACAGTTCATTTCAGTATATTAAATGAAAAGAATATATTTGCTGTATGGCAAGAAACCTTTTGAATTGTAGCATCGTTATTTGGGACATTTAAGCATAAATTTAATGAAAAATTTTGAAATGAAAAAAAAGGATAAAAATGAATATAAGATGGAGATTAGGGTGACCCTTAGCTACATGAGAGGTTTTTTTTTTTTATATTTGTAAGTGCCACCCCCTAGAATTATTCAAATACATGAAAAAATAAATTGGAGATTATTGGTCAACTCTAAGACGTGCCCCAAAAGGGTTAAAAATAACCCCTCAAGGGAGATTTTTTAGTTTTTTTTGTCCATCTCAAAAACTTTAGCTTTTGCGAAAAAGTTTATTGGGACTTTTTTGTAGGTATATAATTTTTCTATAAAAAGTATTTACACAAAAATTTTTGAAAAGTTCTTATTTAGCCCTAAAAAAATAAAAACCTCTATGTTCTATTCTTACCGCTAAATTGTTAATTTATAAATCGTTCATTGTAAAAACAAAAAAATATTCATTTAACCGTTGTTTTAAATTAAATTTTCTATATATTTTTATATTATTTACTATTCAAAACCTACAATTTTTTTAATGTTAATTAAAAAAAACAGATCAGAGTAAAATTAATACCGTCTCAGCTTCACATTGAAACTAAAATAATGTTAACTTATAAATTTATATACAATCAGAAACTATTTACAAAAAAAAACGTACTAAAAAAATTTACTACATATTTTAAATAATTTATCTTTTTTTAAATTATTGTGCTTTGCTTAATGCTCTTTTATTGCGATTAGGAAAACAACGCCGGTATTCTATAACAATCTGTAATAGGTATTGTTTTTGTGATTCGTTTTTGTTAAAATATTACTATACTCTTCTATTAGTTTGACGCCCCTCTGCTAAATCATTTATAATTTTTAAATTATTTACTATAATTTTTCCTCTGATATATTGACTGTTGTCTTTCCACAACAAAGGATTGATATTTAAAAAATCAGTTCAATGTCATATCTTACAAACAACTTTTTTGACTGTGTTGAAATAAAATTATCTATATTTTAATTTTTAAAATCATACATTTCATTTACTCCTACTACTATATGTCTGTTTGTACATGGATCTTCTTCCCGATTATTTAATAAGTTTACTATTTTAATTTTAGTATCTTCACATAAATCATCATGAAAAAATGCCAATGCTGCCGATTCGGATACTAAGTACCATAGGTGACCGGAAATTTTTTTAAAACTACTTTAGAAATATCTTTATTGATTCATAATCAATTATATTTTTAATAAATTGTAAATCTAAATTTGGCGCTAATGCAGCATTTGGTGCACTAAACCATTGTTTAATATATAAACGTGTAATACAAATACATAATGAACGAATATTTTTTAATTCTTTGATTGACATTTCAAATCAGCCCCGAAATTATAAAAATTTTCAAACAATAAATGGCCTTAGCCATACAACGAGAATGATGGATTGGGCCAGGAATTTAAAAATAATTTCCATGTAGGTGTTTCACCAAAAAATATTATGACCAATTCTAAAATTTCGTTATAGTCATCTCGAAGTTGGTATTTTTGTAATTGTTCAAAGCTAAATATCAAAATATCGTCTTTTTTTGTTTTTAATTTTTCTAAAATAACAGTATCTTCTAATCTACTTAAGTTATTTGTTTTATTTATATTTTGCCAAGACTTTTGGAATTTATTGAAAATAGGAACATCTGGTTCAGATGACGTATTCAATTTTACTTCAAAAACACTTTTCAATATAATTTCATAAATGTGATGTCTGCATGGTAAGTATAAAATATCAGGCCCTAACATTTGCATGGAATTTATTTTAAAATTCCTGATCCAATCCATCATGCTCGTTGGATAGCCAAGGCCATTTATTGTTTAGATTATTTTTGAACTCATAAAAATTAACTATTATTTTATTTAAATTTTACAATACTGAATTTCAGAAGTAAACTTTGTTTTTGATAAAATGTATGTGTGTATTTAAATTTATCCATTACTGTTATGTAATTTTAGTTAAATATTTTATATTCACTGTAACTGCTTATATAAGTTGAGAAGGAGTGTTAGCGACTTAAGTGCAAATATTATTATAAATTAAAATTTTCAATTAAATGTACATATAAAAAATTTTTCGTTTTTTCTGAGGTTTTTAAACAATTTAATGTTTAAATATTTTTAATTTTATACGCAAAAACACGAAAAATTTAAAATGACAAAAATTACATATTTTAGGGTTAACTTAAGGTTAGGGGACTGAGTTCTCTCTTAATACTTTACTTAAGTTTTTGATATAAAATTCATTTAAGTTTTGTTCCATACTTAATTCAGCACCTTTTAATGTTAGAAGCACTGTTCTGACTTTAAAACTACGGCTGTAAATTATAATGTATACTTAAAGTCTACAATAGTCAGACTTCAGTTGAATATTTTTATATTTTTTTAACGTACAATCGTTTTTTCTATAAATTAAATTGAAAAATGTTTCACGTTACTTATATAATATTTTATGTGAATCATAAAAATATTATTTGCAATGCAACTTAATGTTGTATGTCTTTCAACGTAAATAGTTTATTTACCTAAACTTTTATACGTGTTAAAATGAAGAAATATTATTTGTCTATTGTGTTTTATTTCTGACTTTTATATTTTTGCTCATTTATAAGCTGAGACTATAAATACTATATGTCGCATTGTTATTAGTTGTTTTTATAAATTTTGTCAAAACAGTAAATTCGTTTGTACAATATTGTGAATAAGATGAATATCATCATAATACTGAACGCATTAGTTCTTATAATTAATTTTTTCCATTTTTCACATACGGAAGATTTATCAGAATTACCCAATGGACTTATAATGATGAAAGAATATCTTTTCTGCGATAAAGATGATTTTTGTCTAGCAAACATAGACGATGGCAAAGTTACAATGGATCAATACTACATGGCAATGCAAAACAGGGCGTATAAATATTTATATTTGTTATCGTTTTATTATAAAGTTATAGTTTCAAAAGGCAAAATAAAAATACTGATAAAAAATATACACGACTGTTTGAAAATCGTTATCAATTACATGAAACACCACAATGTACCCATATCAGATTTGGAAGAGCAGTTACCACAGTTTAATGATCCCAGTTGTATATATTTGGTCGATGTTCAAACATTAATAATGAATTTTATGATTTCGATTATGGATTTATTCGTTTTTTATGACATAAGCAACAAAACATTTAAGAAAGCAAATGTTGATGAAAATTTAAAAGAAATACTTTGTGAAAATATAGAGTCCGGATTATTATTTNGGGGTCGATGTTAAAAAATTAATAATGAATTTTATGACTTCGATTATGGATTTATTCGTTTATTATGACAATGATACTAAAACATTTAAGAAAGCAAATGTTAATGAAAATTTAAAAGAAATACTTTGTGCAAATATAAAGTCCGGATTATTATTTAAAGGTATATTCAAAGATGGTTTAGTTTTTCCGTTTGATAACAATAAAAATACAATTAATTATAACTATAATTTTGACCGTGTATGTGAAATGAATAAAAATGCTGCAATAATAATTATCCAAGACATACAGAATGAGTACAAAATAAAATGATCATAAATAATTTCTTGTATAAGTATTATGAAATAAATAAATAATTAAATTTTATCACAAATGTACATTTGTCATTGTCATAATTTTGAATTTTAGTTTAATGATAATAATAATCGATTATTTCGTATATTATGTTATATAAATTTCTATTATATAATCAATAAGTATTTCATGTTAATTTCACCTAAACAAGTCGAATTAGTAGTATAAACTAATAAGAATTTTACCTAATGTATACAGGTGTAAAATACGTTTATCATTTACTCACAAAATAAATACAATATTGGAGAAAAAATTTCGTTTTATTGTGGTTACATATATTTTCTACATAACTTATATAACTGTTGATGGATACATTCATTATGTCAGATGATAACGCACGCGATCGATGTGAAAATCCTTTGAGTCGTATTGTATGTGGTGCTGTTACTATTTTGGCCCTTGTCAAAGTGTTCCATAAGGTCTTTTTCGTGCATAATAGTTTTTTTATACATAGACAATCGCCCTATCGATTCGCGTGTACCTTAGTACGCAAATATAGTAAATTCGCCCTGCGACTCTCGCCATATCATCGCCTTGCGATTAACCACATCCAATTGTATCCACCATTTTGTTGAAAGGTTATTCATTCCGGATCAGTTCATTTGTACAACTTTTAAGACTACAGCAATTGATAAGTAATTAATTAGTTGTCATTATCTTATTACTTTTACATATATTACTATTTATTTGTCTTTGCGCCAGTGTGGCATTAGTGTTAAGTGCCTCCCCCCTCTACCCCATTAGTACATAAATAAGAATTTATGATTTATGTTAAAAATACAGTTTATTGTTTTATATTCTTTCAATTAAATAATATAATAATAATATAAACTCATTTATACAGTCCACTCCCTACTTATTTCTCCTGCATGATATAGATACTCCAGAAACGAACAGTAACTAACCCGTACATCAATTTTTATTTTATAATTTTAACTTTATATTGCTATAACTTTATGAAAAATGTATAAATCAATATAATTTATTTTTTAATGGATTTTAATGGGTAAAGAGAGTCATATTATCGAAAAAAGTATGTCAGATGAAATACTTTTTTTGATGATATGACTCTCTTTTCTTTAAACAGAAGGAATTCAAAACTTAAAATTTTGACACCCTAATATTCAGGATGACATCGATATTAGCCGGTACATAGCATTGTTATTATCAATGATAGTAAGGTACATTTTTGTGAGTTTATAAATACACTAACTGACAATACAAAAAGTATATCTATTGATAGTCATAATTGATAATAAACAATCCGTGACTGTGATAGTAATATCATAAAAAACCAATTAGCTACCTGTATTTGTAATCCCTTGTGTATTATACCTATATATTAACTCAAAAATTTGAAACTTTAAATGTTTATATCTAATAAACAAATTAAGTTTTATTAAAAATTCAAATGCCATTTATTATTGAATTAAAAACTCAAACATTTTATTAAATTAAAAATATGTGTTACCATTTAAAAAAACAAAGTTGACACCCTTACCAGGCATAAGGGATGAACTTAAAAATAGTTAATAATTCAAGAATAATGTGTAACTAAAGATAATAATAAAAAAAAAATTTTAAATTATTATTATTCTGTAAGTAATTGAGCGGGTTATGATAAAAAAATCACCTGTATATGAAGATGGATGGCTGAGCAATTTTGCAATTGATATTTTTCTGCCCATATTTGCTATTAAAAACAAATTTGTTTGAGAGTTTTATATTGCTATGAAGTTACAGAAATTATAGGAAGTAGAAATTTAAATAATACAATAAAAGATAGGATTAATAATAAAAAAAATAGTACAGTTATTATGCAATGGAATATAATGAGATATTGGGTTACTATAATAATAAATTTTGAGCTTGATAAGTGTAATATTATGAATCCAATTTATCCAACTAGAATTCATGAACATATTCGACAAATATAAAGTAAATTACATATTGCAATGAAAAAAATTTTTTGTATAATGGTGAAAATATTTCTGAGTTATCATTGGTTAAATGTAACGCTACAAACATATTGAAACAAATACGTTATATACATAAAAATACCCACTTTTAAATTTCTTGTGAGGATTATTCCCGCTACCCATCACTATTACAGTATCAGTTAAAATTTATTTTGTATGAGTCGATAATATGAATTGTAATTAAGAGAGTGTTGTATGGAAATTTTCCGACTTATTGCTTAACAAAAAGTTCAAACAATAATGGTCTTTAACTTATATAAATTTAACTGATGGAAGAAAAATGGACAAAGTATTTGAGAATAATAATTTAGAAGAAGTTGTTCCACCCTTTATTACTTGTTGAAAAACTATTGAAATTTTCGTTTCCTAGTCTGAATAGAACATTTAGAAACGTTATTTATTTATTTGTACTTTCTTTATTAGTTTTAAATGTAATTCTTATTGAAATTGTTTTTAGATCACAAAGTGGCGATATACCTATATGTTTTTGTCTAGAAAAAAACAGTTAAAGTGGTAAGAGGATGGGGATAAGGTTATCGAGAAAAAAATCAACACTCATAATGAGGTCTGGGGCGGCTTGTCTATGTGAAATTTAACACCGAGCAGCGGTGGCGGCGGTGTTCTTAGGCACCAAAATGCGAAAAAAGGTCACTACGACACAACACTACATAATATATTGGTATTATTATTATTTTTATTGCATGTAGAACATAAGAATAAGAATAATTATTGACACTCAGTGGCAATGTTTTGGTTTTGAGGTCGCCGGCCGGTCGTCGTCGTCATAAATCGTTTTAGAGAGAAAATTACTAAATCTGTAAAATTCATTTATTCTCTGGATGACAAAAAAAAAAAACACACACACTAGTTCTACTAGATATATACAACTGAGAATCATTAAGTTACAGTAATAATACGACAAATAATATTTATCATTCAGTGAAAGTCCAAGTCTAATGTACAAAAAATTACTATTTGACAAATAATAAAAATAAAAATGAATAAAACACAAATTTTGCGCTCAATTGAAATACAACGTAACAAACTAAAAAAATACTAATCACTATTGTCCCGTTGGAGGAGGAGGTGGCCACGATCCGACCACAGCGGACAACTGGTGACATGCGGACGATGGAGGAGACGATGTAGGACTGGCCTGCGTGTTTAAGTGATGGTGACCCGCGGCGGCAGCCGCACCTATGTACATATGATAATAGTTACTGCAGTATGTATTGTATGAACTGTAGTTGGCTGCTGCTGCGGCCGCCGCAGCCGCAGCTGCAGCTGTGGCGGCGTCCCCGTAATGGTGGTGATGCTGTTGAGCGGCTAGTATATCGGACACGGTGTGCGGACTAGGCCAACAATGCTGTTGGTGGTGGTGATTGTGGTACTGTTGTTGAGGTTGCGCTTTTAACGAAACTGGGGATGACGAAGAAACTGGCGGATGTGGCGAAGAGGACGTGCAACAAGAACCGGGTAGCAAAGTGGTTGTAGTTCCGGTCACGGTAGGAGACAATTGCGGAGAACAGTGTTGTGATTGTTGTTGACCGCTGTGATAATATGCGGCGGCGGCCGCTGCCGCAGCAGCAGCTGCTGCTGCCGCTGATGACGGTGTCCCGTAAGCGTGGTGTGCTCCTTGATGTTGGCCATATGAAGGCTGTTGATGAGTTAAAAGTGTCGAAAGTGGAGACGGCGAGCTAATGGGCACGCCGCCGCTAACACTACCCCCGCTAGGAGAAGAACCGATCTTGTTTCGGAGGATACGGCTAATAGACGAAACGGACGGCACGTTGAACTTATCGCAAACTCCATCGGATAAGAGACGGTCACGAATCTCCCAAGCGAACACGCCTGGATCTTTTCGTTTCAGCTGTCTGATGTAGGCCACCACGCGTGGCGTTGTGACACGAGGCTTGCTTCCGCCAATAGCGCCTGGTAATACTGATCCAGTTTCGTGATACCTAGCCAATATCTTTGATACACAGCCATGAGACACTCGCAACTGCCGACTGATGTCGCATGGCCTAATGCCCACTCGGGCTAGTTCGACTATGCGAACTCGGACAGCATTGGGCAGCGGTCGACCATTGACGAACACACCGCCCAATTGATTGACTTCGCCGTACTGCTGTTGGTGGTGTTGATGATGGCCCGAGTGGTCGTCATGAAGACCGCCGAGATGTTCTTGATGGTGATGATGTTGATGGTGCTGTTCTAGTAACATGTCTGAACCTATAAATGTAAAATGTTCTTTAATAACTTCACTGTTTATTAACAAATAACAATAAAATATGTTTTTCCGTGGACAAATATGAGTAAATATATTCAAGAATGTAGTAAAAGGACATTTTACTAAAATAATATCTTTTGAATGAGTGATTTGGTATAAAACTATAAAATATCATTTAAAATACTCAGCAAAGACAAAATAAATAATAATTGAAAAATTGTATCAAAATCAACTGACATCTACTAAACTTTGATTTTAATTATTTTTTGTTGTATTTAACTCATTTTCTAGTTTAACAAATAAAAAACATAATAGACGTGCGGTTGTAAGTAGTTTTATTTCATTATAAACTCATGATAGTGTTAAAACTATTAAGATACAATGTCACATTTATGTGTTCCTATTAACTGAACTTGCATTTATTACACTTTTATAGTCTAGACGTTAAATTGTGAACATTTTACATTATTAATTTATAATAGTGTTACACGACATGCGTTTGTTTTATTGTATTATTGGCGCAAATGACTTATAATGTAGATATTAAAATTTTACAAATAGTTTCAGGAGAGGAATAGAGACATCTCCTACCCATTTTGGTTACAACCGAAATGGATATACTGATTGTGGCGAATACATATTAGTTATTAAAAAAATGTATACTGTACAAAGTGAGATATTCTCGAAGAGGTACCTCTAGTACATTATAATGTTGTTTAGACTACGAAACGGTAGTATTTTAAATACAACTGTATTAATATGATTACTACTGCTGTATGCGTGTGTGCATGCCGTGCGACACCAACGCCAACTCGGTTAGTACAAAATATTTTACAGAAGTGCACGGCAAATAATAAACTGTTACAAACGTTGCAAGAAAAAAAAATGTGTACCAACTCTTTGGTGGGTTATTATTTTTTTAACGTCACGGACGTAGGTTACTCGGGTTACACCGTAATTATGTTCGACAGACTCAGTACTCCTAACTGGTAAGATACTGTAAAAGCAACGGCTGCAGAAAAATGAATTTGGCACGACATATAATACCATCGATTAACAATTTTTCTGCGCAGACCGTCAGAAGTGCAATTACAGAGCACTGAACAAATGAATTCATATCATTGAGTGTACAATAAATGATGTTTTACCGTATTCCCCCGCCACCGTTGTAGCCACGTAATGGATTCTTAAACGAAGCGAATAGAAAACCCGGTTGGGTTGACTGACAATATAACAGATGATCTAATACAATCACAGATCAAGACGAGGCGTAATAATTATTTTTTTGACTGTCTGACTATGATGTACATTAGAATATAATTGTCGAGATTTTTTACACCATATTACTGTTTACATGTATAGTCAGTGGCGTATTAAAGAATTTAGCACCCCGGAGCAGTTTGTATTTGATATTCTCTTAAAATAGTCTGTTGAGCTAAAAAAAAAATGTTTTTTCAATTTATACCGAAAAAAATGTCTGGCTTAAAAACTTAGAATATGCATAAACACAAGAACATATATTAGAAATAACATTAGATATCGAGTTAATCGGTTATGACGCTGCCCAAAGTCTTAGGGGTACTCTTTTTGTTCCCTCCTGGGGCAGCTGACCCAAATAAACTCTTATGTAGACACGCCACTATGTACATGATTAGGTGTGAACAATTTTTATTCAAGTCTGCGCACAACTTAATTTTAAGGTTGATGTTTTTGTTTTGTTAACTAAAACTAAAATTATGTGAATATTTATATAATTATACAACTGGAAATATTTAATAAGAAAATAATGTATTATATAAATATATAATTAGATTGTAAAACACCTCTACTAGTATAGAATGAACGATATATAAAAATAAATACACATCTAAATTGATGACATAAATACATTTAAATTGAAAATTTCATTATCAAAGTAACCCTATTTTATGGTACATTGTTGTAATAAAATAAATGAAATTACGTAGCTGTGTGCACAGTTATGCTTCATTTATATTATACATTTTGACATTTATGTTGTTGCCAAACGTCAACCCAATACAGAGAATTCTCTTTTTAACGGGAACCGCTCCGGACCAAAGTTGTTTCCGTTTAATAGAGTTTTATTCTAACCTATAAAAAAACTGTTTTAAAAATTAAAGTCGGAATTAGAAAAATTATTTTTGGTACGTTTGTTCTGTATAGCAACTAGAAATTACATCATGTTTATTTATGGTTTAATGTTAATTTCAGTTTTATTTTCTGATCTGTACAAGTAATTCTGATTTAATTACTATACGAGGTTTACGAAACTGAGCTTGGGCGTTTAATTTAAACATTAGTCGTTTCTATTTCATAAATAATAAAACGCTAATGAAATTGCATCAAGTAAAAGAATAGTATTTGTTAAAATACGTCACTATGCGTTAATTTTATAACTATGTACACGAATCTTGTCTGCTGTGTGTCATTCCATCAAACGCACCAGCAGCGCGGCTAGCCAAAAAAATAATTACAATCCAACACACCAGCAGAAGTTCGACTTTAGGGCTGTTAGCCAAGGGGTGGTACGCATCATTTAAGAATCCATTACAGCGTTGGCCGAGTGCTGTAGGGACGGGCTCTGGTACGTGATAAATTATATAGATACATGCGATACACACAAACGTTGTTGTACAATTGGGCTGTACAATAATAATGATAATAATATGTGTATAAATAATAAAAATAAAGTCGTGCTACTGTATGATGTACACGAATGTTGACGGGCGTTCAGACTGCGGAGAGTTATAAAATTAATCGTCGCACATCCCAAGCCAGAAAATAGATAAATGTCTTTTACTGCATATTATTATTACTACTTGGTTCAGCGACAATTCTTCATCTGGCACGTTATTCACACCCTTTTGACAAACGCACGTCAATGATAAATGCCATTGTAAAGGTGCAGAAATAATATGAAGTGCCTAAACGATAGTAGTAAAACACCATTGTCGGATCCTGCAATATTTGTGATATTAATAACGAAATAACGCGATATTGCGTCTCATCTCTATCATATATATTTGGACAATGCATCAAGAAAAAGGTACTTCTTAAGGTTTATTTTTTGTGACCACTCGATAGAGCATGAAATGTCCTATAAAATTATACAACAAAAAGTAACAAGTGCCTTTGTCTTGTTCATCTATAAATTATTGTATCGATAAGAATAATATAATTTAAATATTTTCGCCCTAACATTCGAAGAAATAATGCTATGCTAATTTAATGGAAATTAAGTCCATTATTCGCAAATAAATTCTCACTGTCTTTAATTAAAAGGATTTTTGGTCGTAAAGTGATATTTTACTATTAAATAAATAACATAATCTATAAATTGTTTATTATTTAAAAAGTTAACGAATAAAATTTTTCTTTTGTTAACATGTTAAAAATAATACTGGTTTGAATAAACATTGTAATTGTTTTAATAAATTGTTTTGTTCCCGTAACGATATAAATTGCTTATAAATTAACATCACAAATTCAAAAATTGTCAGTTGCAATCTATGTTTTTTTAACGAATTTCAAATTAATATAATTTGCAAACATTTTTCTATATCAGCAAAGTTATGCTTAATAAAATATATATTCACACAATTGACTTGATTAGTTTTACAAATTGAATCATTCCAAATCGTCATGAAGAAATTAACTTTTTTCAAGTGCATCTTTTGAATTATAGAAAATGAATAACTGCCGTTTCGGTGTTTCACAATTTTTACTATTATAATTGGATTATTTTATTACACAGTAAAAGTTCATGTGTCATCCTTTGGTGTCTCGCTGTTATGTTCATGTTTTATTAACGATATTTGGCCACCCAATGAATGTATCTAAGATCTATGTGAAATTTAGTCGAGTTGAACAACAATTGCCTCGGGTCGTTAATTTTGACTGTTATTGTATTTCTAAACATGGTTATTTGAGGTAAGAAATTTTTAAGGATGAAGCTGAGAAAAATATCGTAGCGTAATGATCCAAGTTTGGTTTATTTTGATTTTTCAAAACAAGTCGTTTACCCTTTTTCACTAGCTGCCCCGGAATGATTGACCTATGGTTAATTTTAGAGGATGCTTGTGGCTCATATATCAGTTCGCTTGTACATCACGTGCATTTCTCGAAAAATTATTGACAATGATGAAACGATCGCCAAACGTGTGTGGTAATAAATGTGAAGTTATCTAAAGACACACGGTAATGAGTAACTTACAAGAAGAGGAGACAAGCCTGTCAAAAGACACATGTTTAGCACAGATATCACTATTGTCGGGGCTGATCGCAATTAGTTGAGCCCGAGACGCTGTTTGTATAACGTCCGAAGGATCACTAGGGTTGAAGGTGTTGTATTTGGCGTATACCCTTTTTGTCATTCCTTAGAAACTAATAACATTTTTGTTGTGCGCTCACGGAACGTGCCAATTATAGCAAATCTTTTCCGTGACAGTGACACCACCTTATGACACTTTTCTTTCATTGTGCCTGTTTAACGAATTTTTTTGTTTATATAATTTTGCTTAATTATTCGGTTACTCCACCCGAGATTCGTAGGCCTATCTATATGAACGCTTTCAATAGACGAGGCAAAAAGCCTGTACAACTCAGCACAACGGAATCGAATCTAAACACCTTCAAACCGAAGACAAACGCGTTAATGTTGTCTCCTATTCGTTCTGACCTCAAGAGTATCTGTGTAATCACTGGGAACCGAGTCTTAGTTAATTAAAATAAATTTCAATTACCAAAATCTTGTGTGCTTTTTGTACGACTTCCTTGGACAAAAACATTAAGTTAAATTAATATTGACTTCCCCCACTATGTCGTATAATCCGAACCGGAACTCTGAAAATCTTATTCGAGGGATATGATGAAAATATCGTCAACTAAAATGTTACTTTTGGCTACTTAAAAAAATTGTTCGCTTAATAATAATAATATTTATTAATCATATGCGACATGATTAATGAATATTTTGATTTTA